ATATATATATATATATATATATATATATATATATATATATATATATATATATATATATATATATATATATATATATATATAAATATATATATATATATATATATATATATATATATATATATATATATATATATATATATATATATATATATATATATATATTGTAGAAATATATAAAATATTATTATACTCAAATTTATCCAAAAAATGTAAGATATTTCTTGCATCCTCATTCTGAGGCTCTGGAGCAAGATTTTCGAATCAACATTTTAACTCTTCCATGATCTCCATAGATATGCTTCATCAACTTAATAAATTGCTCGTAAAAAAACAAAACGCATAGTATTTCCTCTTTCGTGTACAGTTTTTCTTTTATAAGGGAGACTGTATGCACTCTAATTGTCAATTAACGAAAAGTAGTTATACACGAACGAATATCACAGGCCAGTAAACACGAATAGTGCAAGGAAGTAAAAACAACTGAGTTTGTCCTTGTAGCTAACTAAGTTGAATAGGCATGGCACAACTAGTTACGATTTCTTTTCAACCGACATCTGACTAGTCAACTGAAACGGTGCTGCAATTATTTAAGCTTCAGATCTGTTTCCAAAGGAAATGCTTTTCCACGATGATTAAAGATCATGAAATCTAGATTTGCAGGTAAGCTCACCACCCTGCTTTGCACAGAAAAAAAAGAAGCATGTTAATAGCTTGAAGCTCGTTCAACTCTAGTTAAGAAAACACAAGGTAAAAAGCTGAATCGAAGATAACAAATAATATGTCGTTCAATAAGTTCATGAAAGCAGAAGCTCATAAATCATCCAAAATTAGCTTCAAAGAAATGCAAAAATAGAATGTGCGCATAGAAAGAAACTCTAGGGCTAGTTTTGCATTGTTTTACTTAAATGTACATGATGCCATTACTCTAAAGCTACGTTTACATTCATTACCTCCCTTACATGCATTGTTTCATACTCTAAGGGTGCGTTTGGGTTGAAGGATTTGGAATGAGTGGAAGAACTTCAAATGACTCCAAATGGTTACGGATTTGAACAATCCACTACAATTGCTAAAAAACCCAATTAAAAATTAGAGCTACGTATTTGAAATTCCTTTTCAAATGACTCAATCCAGACGAGCCAGCGAATTTGTTATTATGGATTTGAAATCCCTCCAATCCAAACGCACAAAATGAAAATAGATGGTGCCCTATACAGTTTACGAAATACACAAGATATGTCATTCCTGATAATGTGTGTCTAGCCTCTTCAAAAATATGCCGATACACTATGCCATCTCCACAATCAAAATGTATAATTCAAAGGGCGAACATCCTCATTATTTATCAAGATTCAGTTTTTACGATTTTTGTGTTTCCGGTGCACTATGTGCTAGTCTATCTTCAATGCACTTATATAAACCAAGCTCCAATATTCTCAAATTTCCTATTTTATCACTTCAAACAAATTAACCCAATGAGTTCTTCGATAATCACAGAAGGAAAAAAAAAAATTGAAAACCTGTTCTCATCTGAATGGGGGAGAATCGACAGGAATTTTCCGGGCACAGTTAAAGCTGCCCACATGCAAAAAACCATTCCTGCAATCAACTCCACAACTACCTGCAAAATACTCACAGTCGCACACAAATTAACCCTAGAAAGCACACCTAGGCAGAAATATACACACAAAATCAGTGGTGCTATTGAAGAAATTTACGTTGATTGGGGGTCCGGTGAATTGATCATCCGTGATCTTGAGCAAAGTCCTATCTGCGAAAATATATATATATGTCAAACAATTGAGTCAATTTTACAAATTTAGAAACTGATGACGAGATTTGAACAGGCAATCGATGAGGTGAGGGTACACTGGATAGTGGAGTAGGCCGCGTGTGAGAGGATCAGAACTCCGAGAACACCGACGGCGAATCCCAACCCCATCTTTATCGCTGAGAAGAGAAAAGTAAATCGCCGGCCGGTAAATCTGGCGATTGATTGTTGGTTGAATTGAACCCAAACGGGTCTCTGTTTTGTGGGCTTTATAAATATGGGCTATGGGCTGGGCTTTCTAGATAATTAGCCCGAACCCGTATCTTATTGGGCTTATTTTATTAATTATGGGCTAACTTTTGTTAAAAAAATGAATTAAATCGTGTGGTTAGGATTTGTTGACATAGAAAAATAAAAAATAAAAAATTAAGGATGTACTAATTCTAGAAATACAATTAGCACATTTGACATTGAAAAGATAATTAGTTGTCTTATGATGGATTAAAAATATATTTAATACTTTTGCAAGTATATAATTGTATAAATTATTGTGTTTTTTTGGTGACGAACCAAGAATTTAATGGTCATAAATAGTTGATATTGTAAGCTTAACTGGCATTGTTTTATGAGATAAATCGCTATACGATGTATGAATAATAAGATTAAGAAAAAAACGTGTAACTTACAAGCGAGTGATTCTTTTTTAAAACCTAAATTTCTACATCAGTTTCTCAATTCGCAACGATTTTCAATGGCGGCTTGCGAGCTGCTGTTTTTCGATTTACATATGAAATGTTTTTCAACTCTTTCGATAATTCGCTTCGACATGAATGTTTGTCGTTGTGAAGTAATTCAATCTCCAATGAAAATCAATTCATTCCATAAAAGATTTTATGGAGGTTGAATTAAGATCTAAAGAATGGGGGACTCAAGGTGTTCAAAACTTCAAACAAACACTAACATGAAAAAGGTAAACAACTGTTTATTTATTTATTATAATTATTATTATTTTAATTATTTTTATATCTTAAAATCATCAAAGATTGGATGAAAAAAAAAGGCCAATTTGTTGAGATTTACTTGCAATGTTTGAGCAAAAGATGTGTTTAGACACTAAGGTGGGAAATGTCTAGTCAATTATTTGATTACATATACATTATTTTCCTTTTAATATATATATATATATATATATATATATATATATATATATATATATATATATATATATATATATATATATATATATATATGGCCATGATGTAAAATTAATTTGAGGGATTGCCATGATTTTTTTTTTTATTGTTCGAAAAAAGTTTTTTTTAGAATTTAGAGTGAAAAGGTTGGAATATTGTGTAATAACCTTCAAGCATTTGTATTATATTGATTATTGACAACATTTTTCTGCAAATTCGCAAAAAAAATTGTTTAATTAATTGATGATTGATCTCTGGCTTTAGATTGAGTGCTTGAACAATTTCAAGTAAATAATATTGCATAATATATATATAGTATGATATGACTTATTCTATAAGGGTTATTATTATTTATTAAAGAGTATAAGTATTAACCATTAATTAATTAAAAAAGAAAAAAGGTAAAGGGGATAAAAATCCATCAAACAGGTGGTGTTTAATGTTTATCCCTCTTTTATTCTTTTTTTCCTCTCTTTTTTTCCTCAATTTATTTATTATTATTATTATTATCAATTATGCCCCTTTACAATATTTTTTAAACTTTAACTGCAGTTGAAGCTATTCATCTCTGCAACTCTGATTTCCTATTTTCTTTTTGCATTTTTTTATTTTATTTATTTACCCTTCTGCTTTTTTTTGCTCTCAAATCTTCCCCCAATCTTTGATTTTGCTTGATTTTGGTTACTGGTAAGCAATTTATCAAAATTCGTTTATGTTTCTCTCTCCTCCAATTACACGAATACACATTGGAGGCGGCATGGAATTTTGTTTCTCAATTTTTAATTTTTTCGGGCAATAGATCTTAGGGTTTTTTTGCTGATTCTATTATTTCTCTTGCAATTGGTGAGTAGGGTTTGTTGTGAAACTTACGCTGACTTGAAATAGAGCTCTAATTGCTTTCGATTTTTATTGTATTGGAAATTGGAACTCTGCTCCTGAAAATTTGTTTACCGTGATTGAATTTATTTATTTATTTTGGGGATAATGTGGAGAGCCCATATTCTCGTTGTGCATCCTGATTTAGTTGGTTTCTTTCGTTTGTTGGATTTTTTGTTCTGTTCTTGATTGGATGTGCTCTAGGTACTTCAATTCTAATGTGTGATTTTATGAAATTCAAATTGGGGTTATGTATATGTGAGCTAGGGTTCCAGAAATTGATTACTTAGTTCTGATTGACATTGGTAGAGCTGTAATTTATGATGTATGAACTCGAAAGACTGTACTTTTGAGACCTCTGAGTGTTGATTTCGCTTTTGATTCGGTTGACTGATACTATTGAGGGGACTATTTTTTCAATGTCTATGTAGATTGAACATGTTCGTTTGTCCATATATTCTAAACCTTAGAATTTTACATTCTATTCCTTTGTTCTACCAGGACTTGTTTTGACTTATTCGAATTGTCATATCGGAGGTGATACTCTGGGAATGGACAAAGGTGAAGCATTTGTGTGATGAAAAGACGTACAAATGGTAATGCAGGTTCCGTTAGACTGTGAGCCTTGCCTTGCTCCTGATAATCTCGGAAACAAGGATGGGGATTCTAGTGTGCCCTCGTCTCCACAAGAACATGTTGATCCAAAGAGGCCTGGTATTTTTCGATTTTTGATTTTGTTTTTAATCTTTATTAGATGTACAATAACTGGTGAACATCTATGCTGATTTTTTTTTTTTCATTAACTATGCAGCGAAAAAACAAACAAGGCAATGGAATGATTCTGAGCCTTGCCTTGCTCCTGATAATCTCGGAAACAAGGATGGGGATTCTAGTGTGCCATCATCCCCGCAAGAAAATACTGATCCAAAGAGGCCTGGTATTTATTTGTTTAATTTTTTTAATCTTTATTAGATGTACAATAACTGGTGAATGTCTATGGTAATTGTTTTTTTCCCCTCTATCATTATGCAGTGAAAAAACAAACAAGGCAATGGGCTGCTTGGACTCGTCAGGAGGAAGAGAGCTTTTTTGCCGCTTTACGGCAATATGGCAAGGCAAATTTCCTGTTACTTTCTTTAATTTTACAGATTTATTCGGAAAGAAATGTCCTTTTCCTCCAAATATATTCTGACAATTGTTTTTTTTTTTCTTTTTGGGCAGAATTTCGAGAAAATTACATCGCGAGTCCAGAGCAAAAACAAGGATCAGGTGGTTTTCATGAAACTGCATATTGATTTCTTCATTTTTTCCCCTTGATATTCTAACTCTTCTTGTCATTTTGATCTTTGGCATACAGGTTAGGTATTATTACTATAGGCTTGTAAGGCGAATGAACAAGTTGCTAGGCCCAGAACTTTGTCTTGATGCAAAAAACTCAAAAGATACCAATGGTGCAATGCTTCGATGGTAAGTTAATCTATTGATTTGTGTAATGTATCTAGAAAATATTCATCCTGATTAGGTGGCAATTAGGTAATATTTACAAAATATTTTATGTTCCAGTTTCGTGTTTTTTTTTACATTGGCCTCATGTATGACATAACCGATGGATGCATGCAGATTTTTGGTTTGTTTCTTTTAGTCACAGTGTAGGGAAAATATGCTGTTCGATTCAATGTGGTTTTTATCTATAGGTCTAGTTATGATCATCTTTTTGTTGTATCAAAGATTGTTTTCCTCTAATTGATAGTCTCCCAACTGCTGTATATTCGTTGCAGGTGGTCATTATTGGAAAAATACAGCTGTAAAGCATCCAAGCTTCATTTAAAACCTCGAAGATTCAAGATATTTGTAGAGGCTCTGGTTAGTTTAAAAATAGTGGATTTGTACCTTGATGAAGAAATAATGGAAGTTGTGATTGGACTGACTGTTTCTTTATCATGAAGGAGAACCAACTCTTGAAAGACCGGAAAAAGAATATTAAAAGACGACTTTCTACTGGAGGAATGAATTCGCCTGTTGCTGACATCCCTGCCTCAAATCAGGTCAGAGCGCCAGGCCATGACAACCGTGCAGTGAAAATGGTTCTTGTTGAAAAAGTAGGAACTGGGAAAGGAGCTTTGTTCAAGCGCCATGTCAATACAGGAATTAGCCGTACAAACTGCAAAGTAGACACAGCTTCTGTCAAGACAACGAAACATAAGCGAAAAACAGGTAGACTTTGAATATATCATGGACACAGTTACGAGAATAGGTTCTATGTTTAATGATGTTTCTTGGTAGCAGATTAGCAGTTAAATGCCTATTTCCTATGTTATGAGTAGTAAGATTATTTCCTTAATTTAATATCTATAAAAATAGTATTCTTGATTCCCGAGTGCTACTGTTCCCTTTGGCGTGTTTATAGGGTTTAATGATAGTACTTGAGGTGATTAATTGGAAGGTTATTGTTAGTTCTCGTTTGGGTTCTCTAGTCTCATCTACATCGTATTAGTTGTTAACTAAAATAAAAGTAACAAACTCCTACCATAGGTGCAGCTAAGGAAGATATGGTTCTTCTTTTGCAGACTAATCGATAGTATATGTGCGCTCATGTTTTGTATAGATGGTAGAGAAATCTATAGAAATTGGGCATTTTGCATTTTCAGTTGTCAGTTCTTTGTATAACAAGCTTAGTCCTGTCTCTGTATATTGTTTGTTTCCGTATATATTTTTGCTTTTGGTATTCTGAAAACATCAGCGTACACTAGTCTAAGGCTTCAAAGTTCGTCTTCTTTGTTAACCCTTTCATTTTGATTACAAAGATATTAGTCTCTGCTCTAACGTCAAATCTATTATACAGGCCTCGCATCAGCAGCTGCATGTAAAAAATGGGAGAAAGCTGCCATTGCTGGCGTTTCATTGGTTGCTGATGCTGCTGAACATTTAGAACGAGCGGAAACTGATAAAGAGATGGAAAAATCTCAGGAGCCACAATCAGGTAAATTTCGACATATTTTTATCCTGAATTTAATGTTTAACTCAGTTGGGAATTAATTTTAAGTTGGCAATCTTGTTTCTCTCATATTTCAGGTCATGATGGTTCTGAACTTGGTGCACCGTCTTTACAAGTTCCTTCTCAAAACATGTTCAACGATAATAATATTCACAACTCCACAAAACTCAAACTCCAGTTGTTTCCGATCGATGAATGTACTCAAAAAGCCTTGGAAATGGTAAGCTTCAAAATGAAGTCAAAATACTGAAGTTTCGAAGTAAAAGTCTACTTTTGACTGTAAAAGTAAGAAAGTATGTGCTTCTGTTAATTTTGCAGGATCATCGTAATCCCCATTTGGAACTAACTTTGAGCACACGAAAGAAGATATCATCTGTTTTAGAACATCTCAATCGGAAATGGGGTAACTCAAAATTATTATGTGAAGATTTGATGCTTTTCCCTTACTGGGCACAGAGGGAAAACCTATTAGAGTATCAGAAGTGGACTAAGGACTCCACACTTTGTGCAGCAGATGTGTATTACCTAATCGGAAGCCCTCCGATTTTCCGCCTCAGGTTCTGCTCTCGTATTCCCTTTCTGTCCAAAGAATTGTGTTAGCAGAGTGGACATAATGTAACATATTTTTCTTTCTTATTTCAAGATACGGCTGGTTTTCAAAATCTGAGCTTGAATCTGCGACTGCTCAACCTTTGTCGTGTACCAATATCAAAGAGAAGAATTCGAACATTAACATTGAGAACCCAAGCGGGCCCCGTAACAATCACCAAGCTGTCTCTGCAGAACAAATTATCACTCTGAATTCTTCATCTGTTCAGTCTGGTGTTTCTGTTTCTAACATCAATAATTCAAGATATCGTGATAGCACTGCAGTTTTGTCGTCAATTGGAGAAGCTAGTGAAGATTTAGCACCTGAAAATACGGTTCGGCTTCAATCTTCTTCGCTTTATTGCTATTAACTTGGAATCATATATTACAATTTATATGCACTTTAAATTGATAAAAAAAAAAAAAAAAATCTGTAACCACTGTTTGAATAATTATTGTGATTTACTCGCTCGCAGTAGGACAAAATTATGACCAAATTATTAATTTACGTATTTATACCTGCCATGATTCTGAAATTTGTTTTCCTTGAAAAAGGATATGGCATTTTCAGCTGGGGAGTGGGCCGATACCCTCACCAATGTAAGTATGGGAGATCTTCTCTCTGATTCGCACAACAACGCGGATGCCAACTGCACAGACTTTTCTCTCCCTCTTAGTTCGAACTGTCTTCAGCAGATGCCGTTTACTTGCGACTCTTTCGATGCTGCAATTGCCGCTCACATATACAAACATAACAAAGCCGACTCACAGCAGATTCTTGCTTCTCATGCACCCTCCATATGGGATGCTGAAGTAACCTGCGATGCCTTTGCTTTCCAGAAAAACGGTGCTTTCTGTGGTGAAGACAAGAATGCATGCATGAATTCGAGTCCATCTTCTGACAAGGAAGTTGAGGTTCGATTCGGAACATCGTTCCGTTTGATCCATTTGAACTAATACTAAGAGTTCTTCATAAAGCTGTTCTTATTTTTTTCTTGCAGGAGTTGCTTGATGTGGATAAATTTGCATATAGCGATCTTAATTGTGAAGACATTGTGGATGACTGTAGATCCGATCATCTATTAGAGAATCCCACAAAGGATTTTGGTGGGCTCACTGATATTTACTGGGTAAGCTTTTCATAAGCGTGCATTTTTTTATTGATCTCGTTTGATGATTTGGTGTTTATTTATCTAATTCTTGATTTTCTTTTTTTTGTTTTGGGTACAGCCTAACTCTTTAGGAGCTTTAGATTTGGATATACCATCATCGTGTAGATACAATAGCAGCGATCTGATTCTTAACGATAATAGCCTTGGTGGTTTGAATCGTTTGATAGCAAACAGTTTGGATGCATTTCAGAGCTGTTCGTTCTTTGGCTTGGACAAGAACGAACCTCCATTAACAGCTGAGGCCCCACCCCAAACTGCTTCCATCTCGATATCCGATTTCAAAATCGGGAGTTAAGTTTAAAAATGACAGGGCTTGGATATATAGTTAGGGTTATGTACCAGTCACAAGAACCACAAAATTTGCAGAACTTTCATGTGGCATGCATGCATAATCCTCTTATGTTATTATTACCGGTTTTTTTTTTTTTTTTTTTTTTTTTTTTTTTTTAAAATAATTTTGTACTGTACAAAGTTTCGGAATTGGGAAGTTATCGTACAGATTTGAAATCGGCTTCTAGCGCATATTATGTATTGATGTATATTTTCTTTGAACATGCGAAGAAGCTATAAAAACATTTCGATTCGAAATACAATAAATAAGTTGGACGTGATATTATTCTGGAACGAATATGCACCATCGCATTCGTCATTCGATATTTTACAATTTTTGGGGGATTCGGAAATCCAAAAAGGGGGGGGGGCCCCCCCCCCCCCCCCCCCCCCCCCCCCCCCCCAGGTTATTGGAGGGTGAATAAGACTGGTCATTTTGGGTTTTTAGTAGTGGCATACAGCATACGTCGAATGTCAATTATTCGAATAACTATGCAATCTGTCGTCATCTAACAATTCAATCAACATCTCAATTGTACAACTTTTCACATCAGCTTCGTTGGCCTCTATTTTAACATAGATCAGTAAATGTTAGGGTTTTTTTTTGGGCCAAATAGATTATTCCATATCCAGCCCAATTTCCCCCAAGTCGGCCGGCCCACATACGAAGCTCACCAGTTCGGTCAAATCTTTAGAAGACTCTAGATCTTAGATTCTCACTGTTTGATCTGAACCGATCTGAGATACTTAACCTCTGACACTCTCTCTCTCTCTCTCTCACAACCTTAATTTCTGATTCTCTCTCTCTCTCTGACCGTACCACCGTATTGAATTCAATTTGAATTTTTTTTCCCCGAAGAATTCATTTTACAGTGGTTAATATCATCATGTGCCTCCATAGTTAATGATCAGTTCTAGAAGGTGGAAAATATCATCATATATGAATTTGGTGGTAAAAACATATTTACTGATGTGTATAATTGGATCTTAAACGCAATTGGTCCATTAAAGGCCCAATTAAGGGAAAAGTCCAATTAGAGCTCCACTTCTATAATTTTCTCCCACATTGAATCTCTACAAAAAGTTTCACACTTCTACACTTATACCACATTGAAAGTTTACAAGAAACTAATAGTCAAGTCCTACTATAAAGACAAGGTATGATTCATTTGTTGAAGTATCTCTAATTTGGGTGATATTTTAGCCTTTGCAAAGTATCTCTTCCAATACCTGACTTGAGCGTCGGAGTGTAATCGCCGGGGCCACCCCGGCGAGTCACTTAGTGTCTTGATTTGTTTTGTAGGTTATTCGGCGAACCCACACCTTTGATCCCTTTGGGCACGTGGCAAGGACCCTCGGCATTTCCGATATTGGGCTTGAAGATTCCCGGACTTAAGAGACCAGTGGGCTTCAAGAACATTGGGCTGATCCACCACAGGACCACACACTTTTGTTGTGTAGCTCCAAATTAGTTAGATAAGCAGTGATTGTCTGATTGCTTGGTTGAAGTTGAATGTACACTATATATCTTAGGTACAACTAAATTTCCAGGGTGCACGTTTTTCCCTTAATTGCCCCCCACATGCAATTCTGTTAATTTCTCTTAATTTATACACACTCTGAATATTTTTTTCAGGATAGGATAACCTGTGCTTTAATCTGAAACGTTCAAAAATACTACTAACATATATATAAATAAATATAAATATTAATGTTCTTTATTACGCATGGCCCATGCATAATTCCAAAAAACTAAATGAATCACATTTTTGCCTCTATATATATATGGTCAAATTTGTTAGGCCAGTAGCTATCTGCAGAACTCAAAACCCTTCAATTATATATAGTACATACAAGAAAAAACTATTCATTATTAATTTATTACAAGAAAAATAATGAAGGAAATTATTACCAAAAAAGTTCATAAGCCTCATGCAATTCTATTCCCATACCCTCTACAAGGCCATGTAATCCCGTTCGTAAACCTAGCCGTAAAACTTGCGTCAAACGGCTTCAAAATCACCTTCATCAACACGGAATCAATCCACCACCAGATCACCAAAGCAAAAGACGGTCCTGCCCTTGGCCAAGATGATATTTTCGCCCAAGCCCGTAAATCCGGCCTCGAGATACAGTACGCCACCGTGAGCGACGGTTTTCCGCTAGGGTTTGACCGGTCAATGAACCACGACCAGTTCTTTGAAGGGATCCTGCATGTTTTCCCGGCCCATGTCGATGAACTAGTCGGCAAACTGGTGGAAGCGGACCCCACGATCAATGCTTTGATTGTCGACACGTTTTACGTTTGGCCTTCGTTTATTGCTGAAAAGTACAATCTTGTTAACATATCTTTCTTTACGGAACCAGCACTTGTTTTCACTTTGTATTATCACTTGGAACTCCTCAGAAAAAATGGCCATTTTGCTTCCAAGGGTAAGTTTTTCTAGGGGCAATATATATATATATATATATATATATATATATATATATATATATATATATATATATATATATATATATATATATATATATATATATATATATATATATATATATATATATATATATATATATATATATATATATATATATATACACTTGAATTATTTTGCTACGTCTAACAGAAAATCGAAGGGATGCTATAGACTACATACCGGGAGTAAAATCGATAATGCCAACTGATTTAATGTCCTATCTTCAAGCAAACGAAGATGCATCGACGACGACGGTGCACGGTATCATCTACAAAGCATTTGTGGACGTGAAAAAATCCGACTTTATAATATGCAACACAATTCAAGAACTCGAAGAAGAAACAATCTCAGCCCTAAACCGAGAACAGCCTTTCTATTCGATCGGCCCGATTTTCCCACCGGGCTTCGCCAAGAGCTGCATATCCACAAGCCTGTGGTCCGAGTCAGATTGCAACCAATGGCTCAGATCCAAGCCACGTGGCTCGGTTTTGTACGTGTCGTTTGGCAGCTACGCACACACTAGTAAGCATGTTCTTGAGGAGATTGCTAATGGGCTTTTGCTTAGTGGGGTCCATTTTATATGGGTGCTCCGGCCCGATATTGTGAGCTCGGACGAGACGGATATCCTACCCGTCGGGTTCGCGGAGCGGGTCGCGGGCCGTGGGTTGATTGTTACTTGGTGCTGTCAAGTTGATGTGATTTCTCACCCGAGTGTGGGTGGGTTTATGACGCACTGCGGGTGGAATTCGATATTGGAGAGTGTGTGGTGTGGGGTGCCGTTGATTTGTTACCCTTTGTTGACGGATCAATTTACCAACCGTAAATTAGTGGTGGATGATTTGAAGGTCGGGATTAATTTATGCGACGAGAAATTAATAGTGACTCGAGAAGGGGTTCTCGAGAAAATTAATTATTTGATGGATGCGAAGAAATCGGAGGAGATTAGAGAGCAAGTTGAGAAGGTGAAAACCATGTTAGTTGATGCAATGGCAAATGATGGATCTTCGGTAAGAAATTTCACTTGCTTTGTGGAAGATTTGAAGGGTAAAATTGGTACGAAAAAGGAGTTTGTGGAAGATAATTGAGTTGAGACATAAAGTCATAATTATAAGACAGTGATCTTTCTGTTGTCGTATTTATTTATTTTCCCTGCATGGTTTGTATGTATTCCGTTTGTACTTGATGCTTATATTATATAATCTATTATGTCATGCAATAAAATTTGATTTGTCACATTTAAATTGTTTTTAGAGTTAATTTTGAATTTTGATATTTCCCCAACAAATAATTATCTTAAAAACCTCGCACAAAAAGCTAAAAAAGACGAGAAATTCGTATAAACGCTTACAAATCATACCATTCGAAACAAAATTTTCCAAATTAAACAAAAAAAGAAACACAGCGAAAAGACGGATAATCGAAGTTCTTAAGTGCAATACTTCAATTTCTACTGAAATGACTAGTGGCTGACATAGATAGATTTCTTGATCCTATAACATGGCAAAAGAAGGTGATCATTTTGATTTTCCTTTATATGGGGATTTATGGGATGTTTTCTTGAAAGGTTTCGCGTTTGGCTTCAACTTGCTCGAGCTCGAAGACTGTCCCCATTGTTTCTTTTGCTGTCCACCGCCGCCACCACCTTTTCTTTTCTTATCGCTCTTCACATTGTACATGTCTACAGCCTACATTTTCCGACGCAGACCCAAAATATATTTAAATGAAGCTGGAAGATTTGAGTAAGAAATAAAACGTATATTATTAAGAGAAAAAAAAAAACTGCACCTTTTGGACATTGAGTATCTCATGAGAGTGTTTGGACATCAACTTGTTCAAAACATTTTCATTTTGCTGTTTTTCCAAGGCACCCATGCCTGATCCCTCCACAGCCGGTAAGAACTGCATGCCGATAATTCGAAAATTATATCACCAATTATTAGTATTGGTCAGTGAAAACGTTTAAGATTTTTTAGTGTTTCAAAGGGTGAGAAAAGCACAAACCTTTCGATACTTCTTTTCATGCTTTGGAGCCTTTTCTCCTGGCAATTTCTTATCGAATTTCCCACCGCTCGCTGTTGCAGTTGATGCCATTCCGGCGACGTGTTGTAATTCATCTTTGCTAATTTTCTTAGGCATTGATTGGGTTCCTGTTATAGGTAAAGATGTTGCAGCGAGTTGAATGTGGCTGCATAAATAAAGCATAAACAAACTCCGATTTAGTGTTGCAAAGGAACAGATGTACTGACACTCGAGATAAACATAGGGCTTGTTTCATAATCATAAAACACTCCACACGTCTGCGATACATTCAGTAAATAAGTGGCATTCTAAAAAGAACACCGAAATCACAGAACAGGTTCTGTTATTCAAATTCAATATTGATCGACAGTTGTCAACAACACAACTTATGTTTTGATATCATGTCGGAGAATCCTCATATTAGAGCAAGTAAATGACATATATTCCTTTTCCAATCCAAACATAAAATTAAATAATTATGGAATTACTCCTGCATATGTACTAGGTTGACGTATCTTATATTTGATAGAGGAAGAGAAAAAAACCTTGGCAGGGCACCAACTTTATTCGCTTGTTTCAAGTTATGTAACCGATTTTTCTCCTGTTTATCAACTTTGCCTTTCTTCTCTTTACGTCTCTCAGCAAACGGATCTTTTCCTACTTCTGGCAAAGTAAAACAATGAGTATCATCGAATCATGAAAAAAGTGCAACAAGGGCAATAGATAATGATATTATTATCAGAATTACAGAGGAGATGCATTTATCTTTTCGAATAATCTTAAAAGCCGTATTTGTTAATAAATATCAGGATTAATTCTTAAATCAGGTCTGAGATTCTAATCATCATGTTACATCTTTATCATTCTCTAAGTCATAAAGCTCTTGATATGATTTTATATCCCATTTCAATATGGTAGTCAACTGAACAAGACTGAAAATCGATAAGGAAAACGTATTCTTCAGAGATTTGTTTGATTGGAAATAGGAAAGGCAAGGAGACAGAAAATAAAATACCGTCAGTGGCCTTGGCCTCGATGATTGGTAGGTCGTTGTCATCATTAACACGATCATAACCATAGCGGCGCTTCCAAGACTCAGTTACATCATCAAATACCAACTTCTCTTTGTTTTTGTGTTGTATGCCTGCATGATGTTTCCAAACAAAACACATTACACCCATTAAAATGTGCACCAAGTCATGCGGCACTACATTCATCGGAACTGAAAAAAAGAAAAAATATTTTTTTTAAAAGGGCCCAAACAAACCTTTCTTTTGAGCAAATTTCTCCCACGTTGTTGGAGGTGTAGGCCTTGGAATCTGAAAACCAAATACGAAATAAATTTGGGATGTTCTATTAGTATTAGATAAAAACCGCGATAGCATGCAACAGGTAAAGATCAACTATCCACAACGAATCTGCTACTTTTAGCATAATCTCTCAAATGAAAAAAAACAGTAGTTGGCCATTTTTATCTTTGGAAAGAAACTACAAATAAGAGAGATCAGAACATTAACGATAAACCATGTGTGTATCGAGAAATGTTCATCCGACAAGCAACTTTAATGGAATAGAGTAGCAAGACTGTATTTTTACAGTATGATTACAAGACTCACTAAGCAACCACCATCAAGGGTTACATTTTCACCAATACCAACTCAAACCTCTTCCCAAAAAGAGTACACACACACACACACACACGCATACCGGCTTTTCTCTAGGCAATTTGGTGGTAGGTGCCGGGAGCTCGACAATAGGGCCATCGCGGTCTTCTCTCGAAGGCAAAGCGAAAAGGGCATCCGCAATGGTTTGAACTAATTTAGTGCCCTGCTCAATGGCTTTCTTCGCGACTTCCTCCCTGTTGAAACAAGCAATTGTTAACACTAAACAGAAAACCTAATAACCACTATCAAAACAACAACTGAACATTTATAGATAGATAGATACATAGAGAGAGAGAGAGAGAGAGAGAGAGAGAGAGAGAGAGAGGAAAAAGGAAACCTGGAAGAAGAAGGAGAAAGGAATTGATGATGACGGTCGAATGCCAGAAGGTTGCCGAGATCTATCTCGTACTCTGATTCCGCCATTTTTGATAGTTAGAGGCGGAGGAGGCGGTGGTTTTATCGTTGAGTTATCAAATTCACCTCTTTTTTGCAGAAGCAAATTAGGTTTTGAGTTTGGGAAACTGGAGCACTTCTCCCCCTCTGCTATGTGACGATCAAGGCAAACCTCTAATCCCTAAAATAAAATTCATTTTGGGCCTCAAATTATTGTTTTTAAATTTTATAAAATAAAATTGTAATTTCTCAACAAGCCCAATCTGGTGGACCCAAAACAAATAGAGCCCGGCCCATCTTGCAATATAAGTGACACTCAATACCAGCCCATCTCTGAATTTTTTTTTTTTTTAGATACAGTAGACGTTTAATAATAATAATATTTTAATTTTTAAATTGAAAAAAAGAAAAACCAATAATATTAGTTGTGCATTGAATTGGTATTATTATTATTATTATTATTATTATTATTATTATTTGGTGGTATGATTGAGATGAAATCAAATCAGAGTCAAATCTTGGAACTTTCTAATATGCTGTGAGTGCCCAAAAGAAGGAAAACATCCAATAGGGGTTGAACTTGATCATGAGTTTCTCAAACATGAGTCCGATAATTGTTTTGTCGGATTTTGAAATTTAGCTAAAATATTTTTGATTTGTCAACAAGTCCTTGTATATTCACTTATTTGCAGGTGGACCCTATTTTTATTCAGGTTGATCAAATGTCTCAAAATTAGCTCGATTAATATTTTGTTCGACTCAAATCAAATAAAATTGAGCCGAACAATCGAACTTCATACAGGCCCGGCTATATTGCCGGTCCTAGTTATAGTATGATGTGCCTTGCAGTTAGAAGTCATATTTCATGTTGTCTAGCTCGTTTGGGCCAATTTACTTCATTAAGCCTAGTAAAGGGTTGAAGCCCATATTCATCTCATTACAAACAAGTTGAAATAAAGGCCCGTTTGACTAAATTTATTTTATACAATTCATAGACTTTTACTTTTAATAAATTATTTTATGAGTTGAAAAGTAGTGTACGTCTTATTTTTAGAATTATCTTTTTAAAATTTTAGGATAATAAGCTTATAAGTTATTTGTACTCGATATGTTTCTAAAAATTATCTTATTTACTCTTCAATATCTCATTTATTAAAACAAAAAACACGTTGGAAGAACGTATAAACTCTTAAACATCTCGTCGGTCCGACCAACCTCTTTGAAATTGGAGATGGATGAGACACCAACAAAGAATTTTGCTCTCATTGTTGTCAGAGTTGCACGTGTTACTTTTTTATTTATTTACCTTTTCATCTTACAAAAAAATAAAAAAATTCCTTTCACATCCATTAACTATAGTATATTCCGGCCAACTCCATCAACTCATTTCTTATTTACCACACCCTCCAAAAGTAGACCAATACTAAAACAGACATGCTGAAATATCACGTTACATTCCCAATCCCACAAACTATATCAAATCTAATTAATTATTTATAGTAGTATTAATCAATTAATTAATTAATTAATTTAGAGAGGAAATGGGTGTGGGGGTATTGAAGGTATTTCGAATATTAAAATAAGTGGGGCCCAGAAAAAGTAAAGGGGGCAGGGGGGGCCGCACGAGTGAGGAAGCTGAGAAGAGATAATACTGCAACCAGACCCGTACCCATACCCGTGTACCCGAGCTGTTACTCGCACGCTTGCTCCTCTGGGGATTCCCTCTGTCGGCCCACCTCATGATCTTCCCTTTTTGCCCCCAACGACCCGGCCCATACCCACTTATAAATTCAGTTTCACATTTGTAATATCATTTATTTTCTTATCTATATCTACGAGCCGAGCTTAAGCTTCTTTTTAGTTATTCTTGAGTTCACAAGTCGATCTACTCGTGAGCCTTGTATTTATTTTATTATTTATATATTATTTTTAATTTTTATATAATAATATAAGTACATATACAAATTAAACAAAAAAAAAATACAGCTCATTATTTAATTTTCTTATTATAATATAAATATATTTTTAATAATATTAGGAAAAAAAGAAAGTGCACAAAAACTTACTATATAAATACATTTTTACTATAAAGAATATGTATAAAGCATGAATAAATGTGAAAGGAGAATTACTGATAGAACAAAGACTGTACGAATCAAATTCAACTTAGATTTGTTTTCACTGTTTAAACATTAAATTATGTCGGCCTATCTATTTCAAAAAAAATATTTATTATTAATAAATATTTATTGACCTCAACGACCTTTTTTCTATTTTTTTCCTTTGTTCTAAGCTGTAATCCAATTCCTTTCTGCCAACTAATATCTCTGGTGCGCGCGTGTACAACAAATACAATTAGAGTTAATTAATTATTTTACTTTTACTATTTTTATTTTTTTTATATAATTTATAAAATAAAAATAGTGTATGTTTGAAAATATCGATATTTGTGATTATGCAAAGTGTAAAATGAAGAGAAAGCACATGATTTGAACCCCAAAAGCCAACATCCAATGTACCAAAAAGTTATTAATTCATTGACTAGCTTCATTTATTTTCTGTCAAACATCTTATCATATGTTATTATTATTATTACTATTATTATAATAATAACAATAACAATAATAATAATAATAATAATTATTATTATTATCATTTAAACCGCATCTTTTGACCTAGCTAGCTATGGCTTCTTTTCACGTGTTGTTGCTCTCAAAGAAACATCTCAAATAAGATAAATACAGAAAATTTCAAATTTGTTAAAACTCTTGACCTAAATATTGTTTTTGTGGAAATAATTAAATAAATAAATAAGGGTTGGCAGAAATAATTAATGTCTATATATTGTAAAAACATAAAGTAAAACATAATAAGACAATAAATATATATATCATGACAACTATAAAACATTTTGAAACTGCAGTGAAAGCCCTAGCAACCTTACGTAACTCAAAATGAGAAAATCTGAGTTATATTTTTATTTGTCAATACCACAAATAATAATAATAAATAATAAATAAATAATTTTTTGATGTAATACAACTTTTTGATATAAAAACGCTTAATATGAACACAATTTATTTGCAAAAAATGAGCGCACGTGTGAGGTGTACGTGTGCGTGTACTGTAATATTGACTTGACACTTCTCTTTTTGAAAAAAAAGAGAGAAAAAAAGCTCAATATGAACACAATTTTTTTTTTCATATAATAATCAATATTTAGTTAATCTAATCATGAAATTAAACTATATATATAACAACGAGCATATATATACATATGAATATATAATATACTTTAATAAAAGGACATTAATTTATCAAAGATAATCCTGCGTAATCTCGAATATTATTACCTTCGATCCATAAAAGTAAGATTATAAAAGTACATTCACAAAACAAAACAATATAATAAATGTTCGCTAAAATAAATTAAAATGATAAATTAAAAAAAAAAAAAAAAACTTCACCCGGCCTCATTAATCCTTAGGCAGATTCCTGTCACCGGAGCAAACAAGCATGGCTATGCAACGACGAAGAATGTAGAATTTAGCACGCTGCTTCTTCGCCAGATGGCTGCATTTCTCTCCGAACGATCTTCTTTCACATACACTATCTTCACACCGCGTATTCTTCTTCTTCTCGCTTCCAGCCATCATTAACAGCTTGTCTTAATAATAATAATAATATTATTATTATTATTATTATCATATATATATATATATATAAGAACTGATGATCTTGAATATTAATTGGTGAAGAAGAAGAGGGAATGTATATATATAAATATATCTAAAGATATATATATTGGTGGAGGAGTTTTGGGTATTCTGGAAATGGGAAAATAATATAAGAGTACGAAATTTGAGATGGACAATTTGATGAGCTATAATTCAGAGTGATGTGTGTGTATTCAATAGGGAAATGTGGCCTACATAGTACATTTTTTCTTTTTCTTCTTAATTATGTATTTCAGGTAAATCAATTTAATAAATAAATATATATTTTTACAGCAAAAAATATGACATGCATCTGGTCCGGTGGTGGAATATGACTATATGTTGTCCCTCATGCTTTGGGTAACTGTAACTATCACTACTCTGTGCCAGTTGCAAACAAAGACAAAATATTATTTTTATATTATTTATAATATTGCACACAACCACAGGGTACCTTGACTTTTTATTTTATCTATATAAATTTAGAATTTTTCTCTCTTCATATTCAACTGCTTTTGTAAATTTTATCTACTTTTTCACTAGGGTTTTTATCTTGGAATTTACAAAAAAAAAAAAAGACATTTACAAGATTCTCTTACCATTCAAAAAAGATCTAATTAATCATTAGAACCAAGGTGTATTTTTTAGAATGTCTAGTACTACTTAAATACTTTTAAAATGAAAATAAGCGTTTGAATTTGTTGTGTTGAATTTTTGTTTCCTCATACTTTTGAACTGGTTATACATACAAGGGTAAATTACGGCCACTGCTGAGTTAAGGTCAAATATTCTCTAGTTTGTATCAATTTTACCTCATTCAAATTTCACATTTTGAAACAAGATGATCATAACATGTGTCACTTGGCTTGCAAATATCATAATCTGTTGATCATAAATCTGGTGACATAAACTGTATTTTTGCACAAAACGAGTGCAAACTAGAGAAAATTCAATGAAATGTAAAAGATTCTATTCAATTTTACACAACATGGGTTGACGTGTAAGAAAATTTATAGTCAAGGGGGTTGGTTGTAATTACCCAAACATAAAGGGTTTTTTCGTAATTTAACATTAGTTCAGAGGGTTGGCAATAATTTACCATATATCGAAGGAGGAATATTAAATATGGGTAAATGGTAAATAGACTCATGACAAGGACACTTAATTAAGAGAGGGACATCAACTTTTTTGTCTTTCAAATAAATCCAGCACATTCAAACTTATTTGCAAATAAAAAAAATCATTTTATATATACCAAATTTACCCTCAATTCATTGAAACACAATTCAACTCCAATTTAAATATTAAATATAGATACAGTTTAAGCATGTGTGGCATAGCAGTAAAAAAAAAAAAGTGATAGAGCAGGTACTAGGTAAAAAATCTGAAAGTGGGAGTCAGTTTAGGGTGAAACAAATGCAGAAAGTAGAATATGTTTAAAAATGGTGGTAGGCCAAAAACTCTCATCACTACCAACTTATGCAATTATTATTTTTTTTCAGATTAATACTACTCATTGCAATGCCTACAGTACACACAGTCCCACAATTTGTCCTATGTCGAATAATTTCACTTTATGTAATTACCGCTAATTAATTCGACTCCAACTCGTGCAAACTCTAATACGAATATTGTATGTTTCGTCGGGTCGAGTTCATAATTGCATTGTTTTTTTTTTTCAACTGTCAGAAATGATTTTACCCATTCTTTTTTTACCCGGGGATGAAAACGGATTTCACTCAATTGCACAAGGAAAAAAATATTGACTACTGTCGCAAGATAAATTGAGAATCGCGACCATTGCAAAAGTTAGAGTTCGAGCACAATTCAATTGTCTCATAGAGTCGATAATATCTAAGAACTTACATATCGATTCAATCCAAATTTATCACGATATGTATCTATCCTGCTGCTCCTGAAGAAGCTTTGCCGAAGATTTGGCGTCCAAATAAAGAGAACTCACTTCTTCCAGATCCGCCTGCAAAAACCGAACAATGTCATAATCACTGATGCCAATACTTAACAAAGTTATATACATACCGAACTATTTAATTACCTTGCAAATATTATCACGACCATTCATCTTAGCAACTATGCTGCCAGGAGATAACAGCTGAACGGCATGTCTGATCAAACAACATAAATCAGAAAATATATTTAACGTAAATAAATAAATAAAAATAAATAAATAAAAACCTCAAAGATGCTTGTTGTCCGATCTCTCCAAGAAAAGCCAGACTTTCCTCGTCGATTTTGAGTTCCTCAACCTGAGCTCTGATAGCTAATATCTGTCCGAAAAATAAATGTAAAATTATTTTTTGAAGGAAAAAAGTCAGGTTTTTTAAACATCACATGCAAATAAATAATGTGAGGTAATAATGTTTAACCTGTATCATTTCAGCGGGACCGTAGGTTTCTGTTCTTATAATAACCAATCGGTCCAACAAGTCAACTGGTATACCGTGAGGACTAGTCATATCGGTTCCTCTGTAATTTGAAGTCATTATCAGATTATATTAGCAATTAAAATTCAGCCTATAAGCTACAATTCGGAAAACTTGATTCAATCTGATAAGAAATACCTGACGCTACAAATTCCTCGATTTGTGGCAAAAATCACAATGGGAGATAGCGAGCTTTCTAAAGCACGATTTAAATACGAAAAGCACTCCATATCCAGCATGTGAACCTGCGTTATTCTTCAAGTATCAGGAAATACACGAACAAAATCAAACGATAAACTTTTATGCATGCAAGAGAAAAAAACCTCATCGATAAATAAGACACCAGGAACGAGTTCTGCCACACCCTCGTCTATATACCGGTTAACGACCTGAAATTGGTTTAAGCCATATATAAGCAAAACCGCTTTCAATATTCAAAAACCCTAATAGAAGATTCAAAAAATTAAACTTTCATTATTTTTATAATGTACCTTATTTATTTCCTGACGTAGCTTGTCGGTTATTTCAGTTTTCCTAGGTTTCATCATCTGCCCCATTAGAGACAATATATCTTGCCCACCTTGAGGCCGTGCATTCGCCGCATCGAGATCATGCAATGTAACATCCTAAGAAAATAATAAAAAATATTCGAATAAAAAAGTTTTGTATAATGCTTTCGATGAATGATAAATCGATAAAATAATGATTATGCACGTAATATCAACACACCTGGACTATTTCCTTCTTCTTGTGAACCTCTCCTTTAGGAAGTGGAACGTATTCTTCGGCTTCAAGGTCAAACTCAGTGGCAAAAGCGTCACTTCTCCCAACCCTTTTAACTGCTCCGCTATTTGCTTCAATGTATATAACATCACCTACAGCTACCTGCAAGTTCGTACCGTTAATAATCGGAAGCTAGAATATGAATTCTTCGTGCAATGTGTGTAAAAATGGTCTTTTTAATGTTCTATTCTTAGTGTTTAAACAAGTTAACTAGAAAGGAGAGGCGTGTGCTCGTTGGAAACTAACTTTTTCCTTAATCAAGGCGTCGTATATTGTTGGATCCAACTTCAATTGTTTGGTCCCTTTTACGGTTTTCAACCCAATTATGACGTGGCTAATACTTTTGCCGTATCCACCTGTCACACTCTCGGTTTCTTCTGGAGATAATTCAGTTACCTGTAATTTAAACCAGCACACATGGCATCAAAATCAGAAAAAAAGGAGTGACTTTATTAACGATTCTTGATTTAAAAGAAAATTGGAGTAGCTTACCTCTCCTTCATAAACCTCCTTGCTTTCTTTAATACGGAGACCAATCGCTCGTCGAAAATTCTCCATTAGAACCTCAGTTTTCTTTACTTCTGACGAATACACTTCCGATCCAACCATTGGGCAAAAAGGAACCTACACATTTACGAGGCACAAAAAATCCACAGGTCACAAGTTAACACCAGAGACAACTATTTCTTTCTAAATAAAACATAGAAACAAATATCACAAATGAGGTCCATTCCAATAAAATTATGGATTTTCAATATAATTCTTGCTCCTATAATTCTATAAATCCACTACTCATACATATTGAGTATAGGCACGAGTCTTTAAGAATGTGATTTCCTAAGGGCCCGAAACTTCCAATTGAAAAATAGGCAGCAGATAACAGATCCTTCTTTTGCCCAAATTAAAGAATTCAATTACCTACATATTGATGGTCATAAAGAAGAAGTGCTGCTAATATGTGTGTATATATATACCTTGCTACCAAGCTCTTGTGAAATTCCAAGGGCAAGAGCAGTTTTTCCAGTACCAGGTGGACCAGCAAATAACAGTGCACGACCAGCCATTTTCTTTTGGCGAATCATATCAACCACAAGACCACCAGCTTCCCTCGCCGATGCCTGGCCCACAAACCCAGCTGCCAAAGGTATTGCTTTCCCATCGGGCTATGAATGCAATTAAGCACCACACACAATATCAAAACCAGTTAAACAGCAAGTTAATGGAATGATTAAAAATTCAATCTTGGAACTTCAAACAAATGTTTCTATGTTTTATTCGCCGGAAAACCCTAAAACCCTAAAACCCATAACTCAGCTTTTTTTTTTGAACTTTTTGAAAAGGCGCAACTGTAGAAATTAGGAGAGTAATAATTGAATACCTCAAGACCAAGGCCTTTGATGTGTGTGTGAGTGGCGATTCTCTGCTTCTTAGAGGTGGATTGTACTTCTTCTATCTTCATCCTGTTCGAATTTCTGCGATTTTGATTTTCTAGCTTCTCTCCCTCCCTCGTCTCTTTAATGGAGGCGGTGTTTGGTTTTGGGTCCGCTAAATGGTCTAGTGGGCTTATATTTAAGTGTAACGGGCTATTTTTTGCTTTGCTAATGGGCTATTTTGTCTCTTTAATTTGGGTTATTTAAACGTGGGCTCAACTCTCATCCTGCATCAATTTGTTCCATCTATTTTTCATTCCTAAAATTACAATTTGAAATCTTAATTGTCATTTCCAAGACCGCCTAACCCATTACAAACTGTTAAAATACCGGTGTATAGGGCGTGTGCAAGTGGTGGATATGACCCAACGTAGGCGGCGGTAATCATGTACCATGACGTGGACTAAAAAGGATGTCCACCAATCAACAAGGAGTTTGTTTAAGGTAATTAAAAGTAACCACGAATTGACCCAAATCGCAGTAAGAGGAAGTATCCCACCATCACTCTATATGTGCATCGTGGTTAGGGGTGGTAAACGAGCCGAGCCGGCTCGCGAACTCGACGAGCCGGCTCGAAAAAAGCTCGAACTCGAGCTCGGGATTTTCGAGCTCGAGCTCGAGCTCACGAGCTCGAGCTTCGGACGAGCTCGAGCTCGAGCCCAAAATTAGCTGTTCGACAGCTCGCGAGCCGGCTCGCGAGCTGCCTTCTATTTTTTTTTTTTTTTTTTTTTTTTTTACATATATATATATATATATATATATATATATATATATATATATATATATATTATTATTATTATGATTATTATTATTATTATTATTATTATTATTATTATTATTATTATTATTATTATTATTAACTAAATAGTAAATAGTCTATAATAATAAATATATCTAGTATTTAAATAGAAACAAATCTATATTACTTAAATAATTCATAATTATATAAAATATAATAATAATAATAATAATAATAATAATAATAATAATAAATTAATAATAATAATAGAAAAAATAAAAAATATATATACCTAGAGTTCATTATTTATTTTATAATTTTTTTTATTTTCCTATGAATGATTTCTAATAAAAAAAATAATTTTAATAAAAAATTAAAAAAAAAAAAAAAAATTATTCTCGAGCTCGAGCTCGCCAAAATTGGCTCGAGCTCGAGCTCGAGCCAAAAAAAATTGGCTCGATGAGCTCGAGCTCGAGCTCGAGCTCGGGAACCAGGACTCGAGCTCGAGCTCGAGCTGGCCAAAAGAGCCGAGCTCGGCTCGTTCCCACCCCTAATCGTGGTGGTCTGATAAGACAATAATAGTCCCACCAAACTCATACCTATGACGGGTCCCCCCATTTCACCGACTGACTTGACCGTCGGACTGACGCAAGAAAAACATTCCCCTAACACCCAATTTTACAGGTCTCCTAAGACAGCGGGCTCCTTCTCGGACAAATTTTATTTCACAATGGGCTTCTCTTCCTTCCCAAGGCCCATTCAATTTTTTTAATAAATTATTATTTTTATTTTTATAATCTGAAAAGAGATCGGGCCTAAGACCATCTCCAATGGAGATGGGTATGGGTTGGGGTGGGGTGGTAAAACCACCTCCAATGGAGGTGGGGTCAAGGGGGTTGTGGGTCTGGGGTGGGTAGGGGTGGGAAGAGGGGGTGGGGAAGAATACCTTGAGCTGCCCCCTTCCAACTCCCCCCTTCCAACTCACGTGTTGGAAGGGGGCGTGTGATACACGCTCCTTCTAATTTATTTTTTTTAATTTATTTTTTCTTTTTTATTTGTTATATACGTTACTTCTCTTTTTTGTTTTCTTTTTCTTTTTCTTTTCTCCTTTTTACTTGTTAATAATTATATATATTTTTTTATTTTTCTTTTCTTTTGTATTTATTTTTTTATATTATATCATTATTTGATTTTTATTTCAATTATTTAGTTACATAATTTAATATCACACAATTTCAATAAAATCAAACACTTAATTTGTAAATAAAGACTTTTAATATTTTTGTTTTTATTTCTTTTTATTTTATTTTATTTTATTATTTCCGTTTGAATTACTAATTCTATCTTTTTTAATTAGTAATAATAATTATTAGTTTTTAATAATAATAATAATAATAATAATATTATTATTATTATTATTATTATTATTATTATTATTATTATTATTATTATTATTATTTTATTATTATTATGATGATGAGAGTGGGGGTTTCAAAAAAAATAATAAAAGATCGAACGGTTAGAAACGACGTCGGTAGAGGTCGGGGGAGGGGGAGAGGTCGGGGAGGGGGAAACCCCCCCTCTCCATTGGAGATCTCTAAACAACCCAATCTGAGAAAAGGGGTGGCCCACTAATTCTAATAACCCTAATAACTCTCTTATGTTGGTCAAACCAATGCACTGTTCTGATATGGTCTCCCATTCCGATAACCACCACTCTCCACCACCCGACCTACCCCATTTCGTTCCTCCTCCGCCTACCTCCGCCAACCACAATCTTAGGAAATCCGCTGCTGGCGGGCCGTCCGCCAGAGATCGCCATGCCAAAATCAACGGCTGCGGCCGCCGTGTCAGGATACCGGCGCTCGCCGCCGCCCGTATCTTCCAGCTGACCCGAGAACTCGGCAATCGGTCTGACGGCGACACCGTCGAGTGGCTCCTCCGCCAGGCCGAGCCCTCAATTATCGCCGCCACCGGCACTGGCATCGTTCCCGAGGAATCCGTCTCCAATTCCTCCCGCGCCGCCGCCACCACCACCACCGCCGTCACGTACCCGCCGATTGCAGCTCCGATCTCGGTAGCACTGCCGCCTCCGGAACCAAACTGCAGGTTAGACCTGTTTCAGCCCCAGCCTCAGCCGTCAAATCCAGCAATGGCGTTAGATTTCTCCTTGAATGGGTACCACCAGACGCCGCCGTTCATGGCGTTGCTACTGCAACCGGCGACGGCGGACACCGAGGTTGACAGTTATCGCCGAGCAGCTGAAGACTACCAATAGATCTAAAATCGATTCTAACCTAATTAATGGGGAGTAATCAGCTAACCCTCATTAATTATGAATTAGTATAATAATATCTGATATCTCCTCATCTTAATTTGATAATTGGGAATATTCTCTGTACTCTGTTAGATGATAATGAGAACTGATTCTGAATATATCAACAAAAAAATATTGCATTACTTGCCAATTGCCATGGACTTTTGAGATTAAATAAAGTTTTTCATCGGCCTTTTACCCTTGTACGGTGATCGAGTATTGCACGAACTCGTTGAAGCCTCGACAACCGCAACTTCTCGTACCATTTCCGTAATTTCGCTCATTTTCGGCCGTTTTTTCGGAAGTCTGGTCAAGCAGCAATTAGCTACAAGAGAGAGCTTTTGAGCTGATTTAAGTACTTGCGTGCCTCGTTCGATTCTCGGATCCAATATCTGCTGAAACTTTTTACCGTCCGATATGTATGGCTGTATCCACTCCAGTAGTTTCTGCTCGTTTTTGGGGCGATTTCTTTCCAGTGGTCTTCTACCGGTGATCAGTTCGTACAAGAAAACACCGTAGCTCCAAACATCGCTCTTTGATGTCAGATGACCTGTTCTTATGTATTCGGGCGCAGCGTATCCCATTGTTCCAACAACCTGGCAATATAACGATATGAAATCAATTGTTATTGCAATTTTGCATGAATTATATCGAATGTAAGTAACCATACCGCCGTCGATACATGTGTTAGTCCTTCTGTGGGCCCCAACCTAGCCAATCCGAAGTCCGATAGCTTAGCATTCCAATTCTCGTCTAGAAGAATGTTCGAAGATTTGAAGTCTCTGAATATGATCTGTTTTATACAAGATCATAAAAATATCCATCTTTTATGTGAGAGAGAGAGAGAGAGAGAGAGAGAGAGACCTGAAAATCCATTTCCTCGTGCAAATACGCGAGGCCACGAGCGGTATCTAGGGCAATCCTAAGCCTGATAGCCCACGGAAGGGAATTCACGGATCTAATCGATAAGTGGTCATTCACACTTCCATTAGGCATGCACTCATAAACGAGTAGCCGTTGAATACCTCTCTCATCATCCTCAGCACAAAATCCGACGAGTTTCACAAGATTCGGATGATCGACAATACCGAGTACATTAACTTCCGTCACCCATTCTTTATGACCCTATCGTACATTATATACATCATACTTCAATTCGCAAAATGATTTTATTCCTCGGCAAGTAATAATTAATCAAGAAAAAGTACGAATACGCATACCTGAAGTCCTTTCCTAAGAAGTTGTTTAACAGCTACATCAATTTTCCGAGGTGGATCGTCGGAAATTTTGATCACGCCTTTAAAAACGGACCCGAATCCACCTTCTCCGAGTTTGCCACTGTTGCTGAAATTATTTGTTGCTTGTTTCAACTCTAGAAATGTAAATGCCTTTAGATTACGGGACCCGTTGTGAGAACTAAACGAGGATTCAACTGATTTCGGCTTTGGGGTTTTCGCGTTTTCCTTTTCTTCTCCATTGCAGAATTTGAAACAACTCATCATGGTGTCAATTCTCTGGATCTATGCCACTACTATTCCAAATCCAACTGCAAATACGTCGTATGCATCCGAAAATCAATTTCTAGTAACTTATTTACGGAAATATATACAATGGGACACGAAAAATTACAGGAAAACAAAAAATATTTGCTGAATTTTCAAGAAATGATCAAGTTAATTAAGAACACATACAGCTAAAGAAAAAAGATCATTTTTTTAAAGCAAGAATTTACCTTTTTCTTTGGTAATCTGGGGTTTGGCACTGCTATTTCTTCATGGATTTGTTTGTTCTTCAGAATCACACAGAGACCTGGTCTTTAATATTGATTACTGTTGAAGAAAGACTTCAATTCGTGGAAATTAATTCAAAGAATTCAGTCTTCTTCCACTGTTGTTTCTTTTCATTTTTTACTATGTGAAATATAATATAGTGTAAAAAACAAGAACAGCCTCATCTAGTATTAGCCCACCAGAAAGAGTGGTAGCTAAAATTAGTTAATGTGACTATTTTTGTACAACACTATTTTATAATTACAGTTAAAACTTTATAAATTAATACAGTTGAAACTAGCAAAATTTTATTAATTTAGCGAATTATTAAATTATCGAACTGATAAGTTATTATATTTTTTACCGAGTTGAGATCAAAAGAAATTATTATTTAAGCAATATTATTAGTTTATTGAATATTAATTTATAGAGACTCTACCGTATTGAATATTGAATAAGAAGATTGTTATTTTCTGACGTATAAATATAATTTTAAATTAGTCATACTCATACATAATTAATTGTGTTAAAAACATAAACTATAATACGCATTAATCCATTATTATTAAATTGCAAATTGGAATAAGAGTCGTCGTAGATTTGGCCATGGAATAGGTCAAACTTCAAAGGCTGCTTAAACCAAAATTAGGTAGCAAAGCTATCGATATAATTTTAAATTAAAATGAATTAAAATATCTTATTTTATGATAATAAAACTTAACAAATTAAAATGGAAATAGTTTTAGCCATAATTAGATAAATGAAACCCCCAAAATGGCAGACCGCCACGAAACATGAAATCGGCGTTTCGGAGCGCCATCTGTACTAAACTCACATTTTCCTTCCGCTCCTTAAACCCTACCCCCCACCGCAGCTCCCTCGTACTCCCACCGTATTACGCCGCCGTTTATCCCGGTAGACCTTCTACTCTCACTTCAATGGCCGGCGGAGAGAGTGGCTCCAACACACCACCTTCTCCCACCGTTCACACGCTGGAGAAGCAGTTCGAAGTGTTTCAGCATAAGCTCAGTGATTCCGGCACCTTGCGTGAGCGTATTCGCGGCGTCGCTTTGGAAATTGAGTCCGCCACCAGGCTCATGCAATCCAGCCTCCTCCTTATTCACCAGTCTCGCCCTATACCTGGTAAAATTTATGCGATTTTCACAATTTTTTATTCTGCATTTTCTCTTTCCCCCACAGTTTCGAGTTTTCCCCCTTTTATTTTATACATTTTTATTATTACAAGGCTGTGAAAATTAGCAAAATATATGAATTTCTGAATTTGCTTATCGGGTTTGCTTGTTAATCGGACCAAATTAAGAATAACCTAATGGAGCATGTTGTTTGTTCTACATTGTACATTCCTCGAAATGCAATCGATTGTGAGGAAGTGAAAATTTGTCATGATAAAGTTGCATTGATGGAATTCCAAGGGCATATTACCCTGTCACTGCTTTTGATATAATCATATAATTGTTCTTAACCCTCTGATTTTTCAAAGAGGTTTTGGAAAAGGCAAATGGGCAGATTGTTGTGCTAAGGGAACTATTTGCTAAGCTTGCAGAAATTATCAGCGAGTCCCCTGGACAATACTACAGGTGAGAAGGTGAATTTATTGTGCTCAAGGAACCCTTTCTTTTCGTACATTAACATTCAGTTTTGCTGATTTATAGATATCATGGTGATTGGAGGAGTGAGACTCAGTCTGTAGTGTCTCTGCTTGCTTTCATGCATTGGTTAGAAACTGAGAGCCTTCTGCTTCATGCAGAAGCTGAGGAAAAACTTGGCTGTATGTTCCACTTACCATTCAAATTCCAACTTCAACTAAATAATGTTCAGCTTGCTTAGTGAATGGCTTTCCTGGATTTTTTATATGTAGTTTTTATCAATGTTGTAACAAGTTCAATTGAAGATCGCAAGTCTGGAAAAAACATAAGTTAGAACAGGCGTTGCTATTGTCGCACTGGTTGTTTTCGTTATATACTTATAGAAAAAGAGTGCTATTGTGAAATTTTCAGGTTCATGCATCAAATTTAATCTTTGTACCATGTCTAAGTTGCAAGTCTTTTGATGTTTGTTTTGCCTTATTTCATCTGCAGTTTTTAGGTTGCTGTGATCTGCGTTTATTGAATATAGTCGTAAATTGCTTAGCCTTCTCATTTTACCTTTACTGCTATTTTATGAACCCAAATGTGTGTTTCTGTTAAGCTAGAATTTTGACATTTAAGCTTCTGAAGTGAAGTTTTTGAAGATATTGTTTAGTTACACTTATTCTTGCTGCAAAAGAAATGACGACGGTTGAATTTTTTTTCTTGATCATTTACACAGTAAAGTCATCGGAGTTTGGTCTCGATATTGAAGACTATCTCACTGGTAAGTTTCAAAGTTCTGACTATTTTCATCCTTTAAATGGTGATAGGCGTTAAATGGGCTACCAGATGTAAGCTCAAAAAGCATATTGTGCATCTTTATATACAATTTCTGTCACAGAGTCAGAAATGTTAAGGTCGGCTTCTTTGGTCTCGGACTAAATACCCAATTAACCAATGAATAGAAAGACTATAGCATTAGTTGAGCCCTTGGTAACTCATGTTATGGTAATTGGTCACTCAAAGGCGCTAGTGTTTCTTGCAAGAATTTCTCAAAAAAATGTATCCAATTTCTTAATTGTAGGTTTGTTTTTCAAAACTTTAATCATACTGAAAATCTAAGTTTTTTTTTTTTTTTTTTTTTTTTAACAAGACAATCATTCTCGCTCCAAGGACATCCATAATTAGTTCCAGCTCATTATTAGTTTCTTTGCTGAAATGTTGCTGCTGTAGCATTTTAATTATTTCTTCTTCAAATTCATTAGTGCACTATAAGCTAGCTATTCCACACGTCTCAGTCACGGAAAAACAGTTATCTTTCCCTAAGATAGGTGCTATCTGAGTCCAGTAACCACCAAGTTGTCCTGCATACTCCACCAACCCCTGTTCTAATATTTCTTTTAACTCGGGCCATCTCTCTCTCTCTCTCTCTCTCTCTCTCTCTCTCTCTCTCTCTCTCTCTCTCTCTCTCTCTCTCTCTCTCTCTCTCTCTCTCTCTCTCTCTCTCTCTCTCTCTCTCTCTCTCTCCCTCCCTCCCTCCCTATGTTCTGATATCAAGTTTTTTTTCTCGTGGCAGGAATTTGTTTTATGTCCAATGATTTGGTAAGCACACTCATAAATCCTTTTGATGCACTTTAGTGTTGGGAATGCAACACTGTGTGCGAAAAAATGAGTTCGTATATTCGAGAGAAGTTGAGATGCAAACCCACTTAATTTTAATTTTAATTTTTTTTTTCTGGGATGGGGGTTGAGGATCCGAATAATGCTGTTGGTGAGAGTGGAATAAAATTCACTCACTCCCTGATATTGCATGAAGTTTTTTTGTGCCAATGAAAACTGTACAATGTTGGGAATTTCTAATATAAAATCTAAGAATTGGAATGGAAAGAGTTCTGATGTGATAATAAGCATGGAGATTAGTAGCCCCAAAACCTTTTATTTTTCACTTAAATTTCTGTGTGAAGAAAATTTATTAACTGCAAATTCAGTGCCGCGGGAAATAACAGATGATATACATGGTTTGCAGCCTAGATATGTGGTAAACCAAGTGACAGCTGGGGATTACGACTGTCCAAGAAAAGTATTGAAGTTTTTAACAGATCTCCACGCAGCATTCCGCATGCTCAACCTCCGTAATGACTTTTTGCGCAAGAAATTTGATGGTAAGTTGATTATTCTGTTCTACCCAGTTCAGTCTGAGGATAATATAGACCTGATGTTTTCATTTCTTTACTTTGCTTTTACTAATCGAGCTATAAGCCATTATTCAAACCTTATGGCTTATGATTTTTCGCTGGATCAGGAATGAAATATGACCTCAGAAGAGTCGAAGAAGTTCACTACGACGTGAAAATCAGAGGGTTGGCTACAAGCGGGAACTCAACAGCGGAGCAAGTAGATGGAGAAACATCTTGAATTGTGACCTCCTTTTCACTCGTCTTGATCTTGTTTTCCTTTCTATCGTCTGCATTTATTTTTGTCAGATGCAATCTTATGTGGAAATATGTTTCATGATTCTAGACATCTTCCAAACATGAAACGAAAGAACGGAGCTCTTCACCTGTTACGATCATGCATGCATCTTTTCGTAGGCAAGATAAATCAGAATTAATTAGACTATTATGTTCTATAAAATGTTCGGTTGGTGCAAATGCGCTTATAGCTATTCGGGTGTTGAGTTGCGCGTGTATATATCGTATTTTAATTGGAATATTAACTAATATACATGTTTTAAAGGTAGGGACAAAACAAAATCTGTGAGTAAATTTGAAACTAGGTCAAATTATTTTATATACTCAAAAAGATCATTGTCGCATTAAATATCATAAATTCCTAATTAACCCTATGCTTTTAATTAATTTCTTTAATTGATTATTAATTAATATAACACAAATAATAATAATAAATTAATGGAGAAATCCGAGCTAGGCCAAAAAGAAAAAGGAAAAAGAAAAAGAAAAAGAAAATAGACTTGCTGTTGGGCGTCCTTGTCACACACTCACCTACAAATCACAGTAACTGCGCGTCGCTTCGGCGGATGTCAGCACTCGGATTCCATTACAGTTTTGTGCAACCCCTTTCACGTCCGTCGAATATATTGCGTCACTTTACCTATTTTTACCTTCCCAATCTCCTATGTTATATGATCTTTCCTTTTCCTCTCTCTCTCTCTCTCTCTCTACCTTTCCCTCTCATGACACACTGATTCGCGCGGCGACTCACGAGTCACAACTCGGGAAACTGAACCGTTCCGGTTAGCTCTTTCTTATGCCATGCATTTGCTTTTTTTTTTTGGTTGGAATTAATATTTGCTGTAATGTTTCTGCATTTCTTTTCTGCCGTTTATGATCGACAATGTTCTGAACTTTTGTTCGATCGATTGATACAACTTTTGTTGCCTTTTATTATTTTTTTGTTAGGTTTTTACGCTTGTTCTAATTTGTAGATGTGAAGTGTTTCGCGTAAATTATAGAGTATGGGAGACGCGTGAATACTGCCTTGTTCTGAACATTAATTAATGGAAGTGGTTTTGTTGGAATCAGATTGACATAATTCATCAATTACTTTCCCCTTTGGTGTGCATGCTACTGAAAATTAGTGAAGTATTTACATCCGATTTAATTCGTGCCAAATCTCTTGTCATCTTTTTCAAACAAAGTTGATCGACGCAATTCAATAAGGATTATGGCAACCAAATTTTTTTTTCTTGAGGGTTATTTATTATCCTTTTATTGACGAAGTGGATGTGAAATGTGACTGGGCGTATTATACTTGAAAGGGGAATATTTTTTTTTATTTTGATTATGTTTGTCAGGTTATGGAGAATGGGCGTCCGGTTCTTGGATTGGAAGATGGGACTATTGATGTCGAGCGTCTGCTTGTAGAACCCCAAGATGGGCATGTGTCGATGGATAGTGTCATGTGTTTTAACAAGAAGATCCCGAAGAACACCATGGAAATGGTAGATGTTTCCTGCAGATTTGGTAAGCAGTTTGAACTCCTCTCTCCTCTCAGACTGGCTAACAAATTACTGAATAAACATTTATGTTGGTAAAAATAGCGTTACTAATGATCTTTAAATATCTATTTATCTCGTTATCTTTTAATATCATGTTTGTTCGACTGTTTGCTGCGATTTCCCCTCCATTGCTCATAAAAAAATAATGACGTAATGCAGGTGCGTCAGGTACTGGTTCTGCTAAGGAAGGTGAAGATATTCTTAATGGAGAAGTATGTCATAATTGCTTATTCGTCATGTACTGATGGTTGAGCCAGATCCTTCAAAATGTGTTATAATTCAATTTACTGTCATGGCTTAATTCTTGTGATTGAAGGTTTATTACAGCTATTTGATTATAAAATGTGAATCCATGCTTGCTGTACATTTTTTATTGCATGTCCTTGTTATTTCTTCACACTTCTTTATTTTGTTTTGCCTCATATCATGAATATTCACTTTATAGCAAGTGCTTCAAACATGTGGCACTACATATATAGTAGGGATCTTGCTTTATTTCATTGTCTATGGCCCTGAAACCTCTTGCATGTGTGTCTTACTGATCAATGGCTGCTTGCCTATTTTTCCTTCCTTAATGCAAGTATGTTCCTTGGGGCAAAAAGAAGCGACTTAGTTTTTTTTTCTTCTTTTTTTGTCAGTTTGCTGGTGGAGCAAATCTGTCAGCATAACATGCACATTTATGTTCTAGCGATGCATTAAAAATTTGGATGTTAAGAATTAATATTCAATCCTGATAATGAAATATTTTAAGGCACTGATAACTTCAGCCAGCTTTTGTTGAACTTTGTGAACTATGAGATTTGTTGATATGGGACGAGAGTTACTTTCCTGTAATGATTTCATTTAATGTCAATAAATATGCCCAACCACAGGTACTTGATGCAATGCCTAGTGAAGTTGATGTTGGATATCTACGATTACATGATGAGTTCTGTAGCATGGGAGATGAATACCTTCTAGGTTAGCATTCTTTCTTTACTTTTTAAATTTTGCTGTGATTATGTTTTACAAGCATCAAATAGCTTATCTTTCCACTCCCCTCGCCACTATTCTCACGCTCCACCACCACAAAAAATAATAATATCTGTCTTTTGGGTTCAGGTGTTCAATTTGCTGAAAGCATTACAAACTTAGATTATGGGTCAACTGAAGCCTTACAGGCTCCATTCCCAGACAGTCAAATGCAGGTGTCTGGTGCTGGCTCTGGCTCTGGCTCAACTTGCAAATCAGATCGATTTAGAAAAATGGAAGTGCTTGATTGCAAGAATAACCAATTTAACTATGGATGCTCTGAATTGAGTGATATTCCTAGTTACCACGAGTGTGAAATGTTGATTGGGGAGGAACCTTCGATTTCACCTAGGTCATTTTCTTTGCAAAATATCGGCAAGTTTCACAATAGTTCAAGCTATTCTTTTGAAGATATCTTATCTGATGAGAATAATGGAAGACAGTCGGCTTTAGGCGAGATGTTCTGCAGTCCAAAGACTGAAAATAGTAATGAGTTTGAGCTGGCAGTCCAAGATGGGGAGACATGTCAGAGGCAAGAAACATTAGCAACAACGCCAGTTCAGGCTAACTGCACCGATATTCTTCCTACACAAAAAAGATCCCGGAAGCCCACACAGAGGTACATTGATGAATTAGCAGACCCTTTTTCAACAAATTCTAAAAAAAGGCGAGAGGTTTCTTCTTCCACCCTTAAAGTTAAGGACAAGTCTCTTCGAGTTAAAGATCATAAGAAGTGTCATATGGGAACTAGAGCAATTAGATTACCTGCAGAGGAATCTTCTGTCATGGCCATACAAGTGCCGTTTGCTTCCTTAGCGCACAATGAGTGTCCAAAGGATCATTTAAATAGTAAGGTAATTTTTTAAATTTATGGACTATTTATTTAAGGCATCTTTCTGTTGACACAAACTGCCTGCTGCTTTTCAATTTATTTCTTCTTCGAGGTACCAGGGTTCACATTTTGGAATATTAAGCAAGTTTTAGTTAATAAATTTATTTTGAAGAATTACATTTCCATGATAGGAAACTGAAAATGGCTCTTACTTATAATTCCTTGTTTGGAATATTTACTTTAGTTTGTTTCAAAATTCGTTTTAACCCCAAAATTGATATAAAAAGGTGGAGTGTGTAAATATTGGAAATTTGATGACCAATCCAAAGGGCAAACGATCAGCTCCAGAGAATCAAAAGAAAAGGGATGAATCTATTACAGCAGTATATCTGAAGAAGGATGACTATGTCACAAGTCACAAAAAAGGGGATGACTATGTGACAAGTCGCAAAAAAAGGGATGATTTTGTTACAAATCGCAAGAAAGGGGATGACTATGTTACAAGTCGCAAAAAAGGGGATGACTATGTTACAAGTCGCAAAAAAGGGGATGACTTTGTTATTGCAGCAGCTAATTTAAAGAAAAGGGATGACCATGCGATAGAAGCAAGTCAGAAGAAAAAGAATGACTGCACCGGTGCGGCAACTCCAGCCGCTAATTTAAAGAAAAGAGAGGACCGTGCGATAGAAGCATGTCAGAAGAAAAAGAATGACTTTACCGATGCGACAACTCCAAAGAAAAGGGACAAACATTTAAAACATGCGAGCGGAAATAAAAGGGATGACTGTGACACATCAGCATTGCATGAAAAGAAAAGTGAGAACAGTCTAACAGACGAGAGCCCCGAAGAAGTAAGTGCTTTTAGGAAGCATCATAGACTATGGACTATAGCAGAGGTAAGAAAATTAATTGATGGCGTCTCACAATATGGAGTTGGAAGGTGGAGTCGAATTAAGAAGCTGTTCTTTGCCACATCTGCTCATCGAACTTCTGTAGATCTTAAGGTTCGTTGCTATGTTCAAAGTTCCAGAGTATACCTTTTCTGGTCCTCTTATATTAGCGATAGTATAAATTGTTCATTATTGAATTTTCGCAGGACAAATGGCGAAATCTTTTGAAAGCAAGTGGTGGTATTCAAGAACAAGGGAATCAACAAGTTAGTGATATTATACTTTTCATCGATTATCATATACTTTTTTTTTATAATGTACAAATTGATGCAGGGAGAGAAGAAACGCAATATGGCCTGGCGTCCGCTGCCGAAGTCAATATTGCGTCGAGTTTGTGAACTGTCGGCTATGTATCCTTACCCCAAGGGTCAGAGACCCAAGAAGATCACCGATAATAATAATAATAATAATTATAACAGTTATAATGAGTCGCCGGATAGAAGTACGGATATAACATTGAGCGACTATAGAAGAATCTTGCGGAGTGTAGATGACAATTGATTCTTCGATTTTCAACTTTGGGTGTCCATAGTATGCTGCTGCCTCTTTATTTATTATGAAGTATTTTAATATTATGGTACTGGTTTTCGGAAAGATTTTCTGCTTCGCATATGCTTCCTGTTAGTACAGAATAGATATGGTTTTTTGCTTCCATATTTAAATAACAATCATATCTTAATTAGTATGACTGGTTATTAATTATTTCATCTCATTCAGTAATCAGTATTAACACTCCGTGGGCCAGAATGCATTGTTGAAGATTTACATGAATGAAAAAAACCTTGTTAGGGCTAATGAACTAAAAACCCAATGTATACATTAACTAGCTAAAGAAATAAAGTAGGAGCATCATGTGGCTGTAGTTTAGTGGTAAGAATTCCACGTTGTGGCCGTGGAGACCTGGGCTCGAATCCCAGCAGCCACACATCATTTTTGAAGTATTAATTTTTTTCTTTTCTTGTTTTCTTCTTTTTAACGAATTGGTTACAGACCTGGGCTGGGCTCGGAATCCCAGCAGGCCCACACATGAGAATTCATTTTTCTGAATTTAATAAACATTTTTTATAATTCTTTAATGCAACAATTTTTGGATGAGCTAGTTTTCAACTACTAATGAATAAAAATCTTTTTTACTTTATATTTAAGTTACTAAAAAATATTTTTCAAAAGAAAACCTTTGAAATTTCAGTGATTTCTAGCAAGCAAATGTGTGCTATATAGTACGATTTTTACAGATATTGCTCTACTTTTAAAAATTAGTGAAATGATTTTTACATAAACCATTTCTTAACTACTGGTGAATAAACATCCTCTATACTGCATATTTGATGTTTAAAAAAATATTTATAAAAATAAAAAGGAATTTGACATTTCTGCTTAAAAAAAACAAAAAAACCGCGTGTTGTAGTATACGATTGACGGATTGAGCATTCTCAAAGATGAATAAATAAAATGACTGGAATTCGAACAAAATTGAAATTGACAACAAGATATAATTATTTGTTGTACTGAAGATATGGTAAGCATTCATTCCAGTTGAGCAGCAGCAAGAACTGTTTTAAGGGATATGCATCCACAAAAATCACAGAAATACGAAACTGAAGAAGATTTATTATCAGCAGCCTCACCCCTCTTCGCATCACAAAATCCAACTTGTCACAAACAAGGATCCTTTCGAACACAATATCCATCCTCAATTTTAGAAACCTACACAAAGAACTCGGAAAATACGACAGGATTCTATCTAGTACATGACCAACAGTTGACTTCAATATCTCTTCAAATGCTCTTTTCTCACCATACAGAAAAGAAAAGAAGAAACATAATCTTCATAAACATACATAAGCAACAGATGATCATACAATCGCTACTCGTTCACAGTCGTGAGCATTAACATTATTTAATACAAGAAAAGTCTGATAACTGTATATTTGATATGGCTATCTTAGAACACGACCATGATTTTCCTACATAAAGCTCATATCTTCATCTAAACCTCAAAGTATATTCTTCCTGATCCGGCAACAAGTAAACATCATATATAGTAACTGAAAACTTTCTCCAAGATTGGTAAGCATATAAAGACAAGTCATTATGGTAGAAAATTAGTCCTATGAAGGAACAAGAAAACAACAACTAAATATACATTACATAATTGTATGAAACATATTAGATTCAAACTGGACAACAAATGAGTGATATTCTTAGTTATCGTCATGAAAATGGAAACTTAAAATACTTGCCTGAACAAAAACTTATAACGTGTGCATTCAATGAGTTCAAAGGAAAAGAAAAAAAAAAGAACAAGAAAAATCAATAATTTCTTATCATCAAAATCTAACTAGATTCTCAGACAAGTAAACAATATTTGGATTTTAATCGCGTAATAGCAAAATTAGCATGTTTAGCTGGTAGACAAAGATATATAATTTAATTAAACTATGGTAATCATCATGTGGCCACGTTGTGGCCGTGGAGACCTGGGCTCGAATCCCAGCAGCCACACATGTGCCATTCCTTTTTTCCTTTTTTCTTTTTACTCCCATTCATAGCCATACGTAAAACCAGCTAATATTCCAACAATATTAACACTCTTTGAAATGAAACAACAAGAACATTTAGTAACATGGTAGCAAAACCAGGAATAGCACGATTTCGAAGGCCGAAGAAAGCACATGCTGAAACCTATATATACATGAATGATGGAATTGTATGTAGATTTACAACATATTACCTCATCGTACATAAACAAAACACAAATGGCGACGGCATCACCAAGCAATCAATGGCAGTGCTAATTTTAAATTTGTTGCAAATCAAACAACAAAAAAGCACCACAAAGATTTACCGCTATATTATTGTTGCAAACCAAGCAAGTTTACCAGTTATTCCGGTACGACAAACTCGAATCTCGCAACAGAGATATTTGTTTTCTTTTTACCATTTTTTTTTTCCGCAAGTATCACCTAGCCAAATGAAGAAAATGTTCCAATTCTCGTCGTCCAAATGTCTTTCCAACAGAAGTATCATCTTTATGCCTGGCAGCAAAGTAAAAAACCAGCCAAGAAACCATGAAAAAAACCTCCATCAACGACTGGAAAACTAAAGTAAGAAGATCCCCAAACATTTTCCTCAACAACCACCTCCCAAACGATCCGCATATAACTGCTTCTAAACACCTTATTTCAAAAGCAGGGCAAAACAAAGCTAATAACATATGGCACCCTTCTTTTACAATCTCTCTGCCACCCCTTCTTGAATCTGCAATTGCTACCCACGAATCGACAGCAAATATGAAACCGAGCATCAAGTCACTCAAGAACCAGACCGCAATAAAGCCTGCACTCTCCCACTCATGCCCTATAACCCACGGTGCCACATTGGCAAAAGGCATAAACTTCATCCTCAAGAAAACCTTCAAGAACACGTAGTGATCTTCGATCTCCCCGAAAAAGAATATTCCCATCAGCTGTGCTAGTGCATCCCTCACTGCCCATTTCATCAGTATAAACCCTGAAAGCCGTTTAAGCCCGATATTCGAACCGTCCCAAATCGTGCGCAAGAAGGATCTGTAATTTCCAACCAAATGATCCACCACTTTAAGGAAAATAATCCCGTTCACCCATGTGTAAGAAACTATGAATGCCAATACAACGTATGCATATGTAACCGACAGGACGCCTGCTAAGAAGAAGAGAGAAGTTGCGTCGCGATGCCCTAATTCGAAACCCTTGATCAAGAAATCGAAATCGATGACTGCATTACTATCATCTAATCTGCTCTCGACGAATTTCCTTTCCTCTTCTTCCGACAACACCGTGGCATTATTCCTGAACTCCGTCTTGACACCTGGCTTGACAATTTTGGGGAAAGAGATTCCGTTATCCATGACGGAATTGGAGAAGCCGTAATCCGGGTTGAAGTCAGAGAAAATGACGAAAGTGGCATTGGGGGTAGGTTTTCTGGAGGATTGGCGAAAGAGGGAGCGGTCGAAATCGGAATCGCCGGAGAAAAAGTCGTCGTCGAGGGTTCCGACGCGGGAGAGGTGGAGAAAGGCGCGGCGACGGCGGTAGGTGGGATGATGGTGGTGGTGGAGATGGGAGGCAGAGGCGGAGGTGGAGGCGGAGAAATCGAGGCGGGAGAGGAGGGATTTCAAGGAAGGGTCGCGGTCGATTAGGGAAGAGAGGTAGTGGGAGGCGCTGTGAACGTTGGAACGGAAAGTGAGGAGGAGAGATGAGAGAAAGATGAAGATGAGAGGGTTAGAGTAGAACAGAGAGGAGGTTTGCTTAAGGATTTGGGCGGTGCTGGTATGGCGGATATTCGGCGGCGGAATTGGTGGCGGATTGCGGTGGCTCATGGCGGAGGGTTTGGGGAATGTGCGCTTGATTGGGAAAGTTTGCTGTCTAATTAGGGATTGGTGTATTGGAGTTTGGGATCTTGGAAATTGGATGAACCCAAACTAATTGTCAAACCTTTTTCTTTTTCCTTTTCTTTTTCTTTTCCACCAAAAATAAATAAATAAATAAAAGTTTATGCGAATCTATATTCTATACCCATTAATTTATTTTTATAATAATAACCAACTTTTGTATTGTTTTAATCAATATAAATATCATCCATCATAATTTACTAATAGCATTAGTAGTTTATTAAAAAAATTGATTGGGTAACCAAACAAAATTAATATCACTTAGTAGCCGTTGTGAATGATTAAATTGGTCTAAACGTCGAATTCTATAATAATAGTTGAAATATTTAATGGAAATTTCGAGTTTTCTCGTATAGCATGATAGCAGAATATAACCCCAGAAATTTTATTACAGATGCAACAAAATCTCAAATAAAAGTGTCACGAATCCAACAAACTCAAGACGGGTTTCCCCCAAATAACGAAGTGCTTAATGCGAAAAATACGATATTAGGGCAACCAAGAATACAGTGTAGAGAACCGGACGCTGCGACGAATGAATAGTGCAGGCCAAATACAAATACTAAAACAATACTAGACATAAGTTTTTTCGATATTGAAAAAATCAACTAGGAATAAGATATATGATTGCCCATTGGAAAATCAAGGGATGTGGCTCATTCAAAATCGGGCTTCTCCGGGTATGTGCAACCGGACCTCTGAATAATCACGTTAGCTGCATAACAACCAGCTCTCACACATTCTTCAATGGGTTTCTCTAGCACCAACTGGGACAAAAATCCTCCCACAAATGCATCCCCTGCACGAAAATTCAATGCAATTGCGTTAAAGAGGAATTACTAGTAGTACAGTTACTCGGTTTTTATTAGATTTATTTGGATGGATGAAGTGAAATGCAATGTTTTTGGCATTAGAGGGCTGTCTCAAAAACAGCAACAAAATCACACACCTGCACCATTGGTATCGACAAGTTTCTCTTTTGGCAATGGAATGACAGGTAACAGCTTCACCTTTCCATCCTCTGCAACCACAACTGGATCGGCACCTTGTGTAATCACGGTGATTCTTTTGTGGGTCCCAGATGCCTTTGGCAATTGGGAAATCTTCAAGGCTATCTCTTCAACATTCTCAGTCTGTACATCAAAAACAGCTATGTTTAAATATATTATAAGCGAACATATTAGTGGTTTTTGTTCAGTAAAATCATTACCTCCCAGCCATGAACTTTAGAGAAAGCTCTTGCTTCTGTTTCATTTCCAAAAACATAGTCCATGTAGCTGAAAAACACAATAGTAGCAGGCCGTTGATCAACTATCCTACTTTTCAAAATCTATACAATTGAAAGAATTAAAAAAAATTTTAAAAAAAAATCAGACTTACGGGAACACTTTGTCTTGCACATCCTTGAAGAACTCGCAGATAAATGGAGCAGAAAGGTTTGTCGAGAAAACCTACATATGCACAAACATTTAGCCCAAACTATAGCATTAAAGTAGGCAATGAACTAATTGTCAAAAATCTGACCTTGTTATTTGCAGTTGCATGCTCAGCAACAAGCATGATAGATTCTGGTGAAACTGTGAGGAAAAATCCGGCAATATAGTAGTATTTGGCCTTTTCCACTGTGCAGAGAAAATTAAATGAGTAAGTTTTATAGAATTTATGACGTTGATCAAAGAGTACCAATTATGCAGAGCATACCCAAAGCCCAGTTTTCTGGTTTCTTCAAGTGATCAGGTTTGTAGCAATTCGCAGCTGACAAATTGGCAACGAGTGACCTGCAATATTAATCCTTGATTTGGTTAACCTAACAAATGCAAGGGCAACAAAACAACCATCCTGAAAGGAAACTGACCTTTCGCCACCAACAACGCACACACCACAAGTCCCAGTTGGGGATTCATCTTCGTAATAATGAACCTAGAGAAACCACAAGGATACGACAGAGTATAAGTAATAAAGATAGAAATAACCTTTTTCTTGATGCAGTTATAACTCACTAGAAAGTCACAGTTTTAAGCAAGATATGTAAAGCTATTGATCATGATCATGAACTAGTGATGATTTTTCCTTGTTAAGCATAAACCAGTGTGAATGTTAAATAATTATTAAAAGGGTGGTGATAGCCATTAAAAGGGATCGAACTGAAACAAAATACTTACATTAACACCAGCTTGCTTTGCGTTTTTCTTCATTTCCTCCCCAAACTTGTCCTTTCCAATGGAACCCATGTAGCTTGTTGCACCAGGTTTTTGTAGCATCCACTGTAGATATCAACTTCAAAATTATTACATACGTACAAAGAAACAATGGAGAGTTGAGAAGGAATGTGAAGCCATAAACAAGAATGAAGAATGTCATGTACCTGGGCAACTCTGATTGAGTTTTGGGTGGCCCCTGCATTACAAAAATCATAAGAACTAATAGTAAAAGCTGGAAGTATTTGCGTAAAGAGTAACATGAGAACCAATTGGATAAATATCACAGCTTTGGTGACGAAAATTACCTCCAGCAATGTACTCCACTGTGTACTTGGAGGACATATCATCGTACCTGAGAAATCGATTGACCGAGAATTACATCCGGAAATGATATGAACAATCATTGTTAGAAATAGACATCGCATGCATTACCTTGCTCGATATATAGTCTTATATCTAGATTCATGGTTCTTTCACCTCATTAATCAAAACTCTTGCTATTTCAAAAAAAAACTCTTGCCATAATACAAAAGCAATTAACTGAACTTCTCATACTATTCAGTAGTTTTATAGTATTTCAAATTATTAAAATAGCCAGTTGTTACTTGGATAATATTATCAAGCTAGAAAAAACCTGTTTTTGGAACTTGTGATCTAAAGGAGAAAACGAGACACCAAATTAATCTCCTCGACAGAAGATGAACATAATGTCAAAACCAGACTGATTGTAACTTAACAGGCATCACCATCCACCACTTCTCGATTTAATTAAGTAATAGTGAACAAGAAAATAGCAACTCAACAACACTAAAAAAAAGTAATCTTTACCATTGCATATTTTGAAATTGCTGCAATAATATGTACAAAATTTAATGATGGATAATAACCCTACAGTTACTGGTACATCACCATAAAAACATTCAGAACAAAGATTTAAAATCAAAAACGAAAAATACGTACATAGGCAAGTGCTTATCCTCCGCGAGAATTGCATTGTTCAATTTAATATCGTACCTGTTGAGCAAAGGTAGCAAATTAGCCTCATCGTATACAAACAAATTCTACAATTTACCAAAACAACATTGATTTGTATGATTATAAATGCCAAATCTGAGATCTAATTCCTAAAAGGGAAGCTACTACTCTACACATACACGGGCATACGAAGAGATGCTGATTAGCAAGCTAAATCTCAACAGATACGCAGATCCATAAACTAAACGGCGTAAAATAATATCAAACGTAATTAAAAAAAGGCAGATCTCAAGCATAGAAAACGCATATAAATCGAAACTTAAAACAATGCGATGTGAATCAGCAAACAAAGTTTGAGAAATTACTTGTCCAAAAATTCCTGATCGACAACAGCTGAAATATCCAACAGTGGATTCCCCATTCCTAGAAGAATTCCGTCGTGCGCCATTTGAACTTCTTCGAATGATCTGAGATCGAAATGCTACTGAGATTTTGGGAGCTAGGAGCCGATTGAATTGAATAAATAAACAGGTGTAGATGGCGTACAGGGTGAGACTGTATTTATAGTGATTTGGTTCTAAGAACTATTGGGGGCAATAGTGGGTTGGTGAGGTGAGGTTATAATGTTAACATATGCGGCTTATTTTAGTACTTTTTACTACTAAAATTATTAAGAGCGTGCGTCCTGTTTGGATGTTGTATCAAATAGTGGAAACATAAATTTCCTTTTTTTTTTCTTTTTTTTTTTTAAAATCTGAAAATTATCTGTAGTATTTAATTAAAAGAAAAAATGTGTATTTATTTATAATGTTTTATTTAAATAATACCAAAGAAATATTGAATGTATAACTAATTTAATTGGTATCAGAAACTCAAACATGGAACTAATATTGGTAGAAGAATGGTCAATTTAGTTGGTAGGTTTGGCCTTAATCAATTTTGGGTTATGGTTCATAATTTACATAAGCAAATCTATCACCAACCACAAACATGGTTTTAATTCCCTGCTTCTCTTTCATGCTGCACCCATTTTTCAAAGACCACCGACAGATTATTTACACCCATAAGATCAGGCAAAGGATCGATCCGAAATGGTTGGGTCGATTTTTTCGATTGTTTAAATATACACAAAAACATATGCAAATAATGTAACGAAAAAAGCATCGATCCAGAAATATCAAGAAAAAGGGCAATCAATGTCTTTTATTCGGATCATCGAGGAAAAAAAGATCCTTCCTATGTGAAGTGACTCAATACGCTTCACAAAGCTTTATAGCTGTGATGGTCTAAAAAATATGCTGGAAGAAACATCTCGACAAATTTATGTTGAATTGTTGCAGCAAAAAAAATCAAAATGTACACGATTTCTAAACGAGGGTTCAGATGTGGTCGCAGATTGCGTTGGTGAACTCTGTGGTGGTTGATTTACCACCAAGATCACCTGTTCTGTACTTCCCTTCTGCGATTGTCTTCAACACAGCATCCTGGATTCTATCAGCTTTGTCGTGGAGATCCAAATGGCGCAACATAGACACCGCACTCAGAAGCAAAGCAGTTGGGTTTGCCAAATTCTACATCAATATAATAACCGAGGATTAATTAATTATCTATGAGGAAGTCTCGAAAATTTTATATTAAATAATTGCCATGTTATATACACATAGCTCCTCGTTGAAGAATGACTTTCAACTGAAGCATAGGAGAGTAATCGAGTACATATTTTGGGAAAAATAGAAATCAAGTTTCACCTATAAACGTCTCGATTAGGGTTAGTGGCACATATAATAACATAAGCGACTCAGATGCACAAATATAAGCAGTATCGAAAACTTAACTAACCTTTCCAGCAATATCAGGTGCAGAACCATGTACAGCCTCAGCAAGAGCAATACCTCCCTCACCAATATTAACGCTAAAAAGGAGCAATATAAATGAAATTAGTTAAGATGAGCATCCTTCGAAAGAAGAGACAAACAAAATGTATTTTCTCGGAAAAAGAGAGCGAAACAGAATGTACCTTGGAGTTAATCCTAAGCCACCAATCAAACCAGCACAAAGATCACTTATAATGTCGCCATAAAGATTAGGCATCACGAGAACATCGAATAGGGCTGGATTTTTCACGAGCTGCACATGGAAAAAAGGGAACATTTTACTTGCATCATATACTAATTTGCCTTTTTCTCCGTATGGATAGAACTTATAACAAATAGTTGACGCAATTGCAATAATGGCCGTATTCATGAAAATAAGCTTCACAGTCACATTCACAAGATATTTGCTTGCACAAACGTAAAAATATATTCATAAAGAAGAATCAATACCATCATACAACAGTTGTCAATCACAACTTCTTCATATACTATCTCCGGGTACTTCTCTGCAACCTCTCGACAACACTGCAGCATAAAGCAGAAATTAAGCAGTCGAAAAGGCTAAAGTAAATATTAATTCTCGAGCATATGTGTAAATGCAGACCTTAAGGAAAAGACCATCAGTTTTCTGCATGATATTGGCTTTATGTATTGCGGATACTCTTTGTCGGCCATGGGCCTTGGCATAGTGAAAAGCATACTCAGCAACTCTCAAACTTGCTGAACGTGTGATAATCTTCAGACTTTCAACAACACCTCTAACCACCTAGATTGAAACAAAAAGGGGTTCGTTCGATCAAATAGACAACATGTGAGTCGTTTTTAAGAAATGTATGTGCCATGTGAAAACTTACCTGATGCTCAAGTCCACTGTATTCTCCTTCTGTATTCTCACGGATAGTAATGAGATCAACATCATCATATTTAGTCTTGTATCCAGGTAAACTGTAGCAAGGTCTAACATTGGCGTATAGATTGAGCTCCTTCCTCAAGGTGAGGTTAAGAGAGCGATGACCTTTTCCAATTGGTGTGGCCATAGGCCCTTTCAGACCAACTTTGTTTTGTCTCACAGATTCGAGACTTTCCCATGTTAAGAAACTCTGGGTTCTAGGATCTATCTCTGTCCCCACAAAGTGTTCTTCCCATTCAATTGGCACATCAGCAACTCTAAATACCTGCTTGTTCACCAAATATTACATTTTCATTTTAAATAAGAGTTTGGTAAAAAAGCTTCATTTATTATGAAAATTTCATCACACAAAAGAGATACTAACTGAACGACATGCAATACAAAGCCAACAAAAACTAGCTTAGCTGGTATATTCCAATAATGACAAACATGATGACTTATCATTTATTGCTCTACATAGGATGTTAGTGAAGAAATTAACCTTCCTAAAGATAAGACGACATAATCTTATCAGTAGAGTAACTATCTATATGTAATTTGGCACATAAAATCTCGTTTCTGGAACCTACAAAGCACGCATCTTGATCAACATGGTTTTAACTTTTGAGGGAGACTAACTCACTGATCATTTCTACTGTCATTTCTTAAATATTACTGCAAAAGACACGAAATTCAAGGAGACCGAGACCGATAAACATTTCAGCTAGTTGAATACGATCCTTTCACCTGACGGATACTCTGTTTTGAGAATTTCATATACCATAATCAGATGGCGCAGTGTGGTGTACCAAAGCAGAAGCTAACACATTAAGAACATAATTGTGTTGAGATGTATACCAATATTGGGGTAACCAAGAGGAACCATTGGTAGCACTCAGAACAAACCTTTTAGGAAATAAGAAATTTGATGGCGCCAAATCCAGTAACGATTGATAGTACTATCATTTTATTTTCCTCTCAATTTTACAACTACTTCAGAAATATTTAACTTTGTTATCCTTCATCGTAACACAGCAAAGCTACCCACACAAAAAAATGAGCAAATTGACGCGCAACGCACATACTATTGCATCAATAAAAGCAACAAAAATTCACTCACGTACAGATCATCAAATTCTAGCACGCGAGACTGAAATATCGCAATTCTAAAAAAAAAAAAAAAAAAGTGGAATCAAAACAAATAAACACAGATAAATATTGATCGGGCGTGGTTGCTCAGACCTGTTTGACCGATTCGGCGATCTCAGGTCCGATGCCGTCGCCAGGGAAGAGAGTGGCGCGGATCAAATTGGATTCGGACGCCGCCGAAGAAAAGCTCCGATCTAAGAAACTAGGGTTTGCAGATGAGAAAATTCCACTGGCTCGGCCCCGAACGAGTCGTCTTACGATTTGTGACGCCATTCGCAACTGTGAGTTCTGGATACGAGCTTCTTCAAACCTCGATTGTTTATAATCTTCAAATCAACAAAAATTTGATTGAATTGTTTTTATTTATGAAAGAACTGTCCTTTGAACAAATTGAGAGGTCAAAAGTCAGCAGCCATTGCTTTCCTTTATTGTGAGGTATCACAAAATAATTTCCATATATTTTAATTAATATTTAATAATAAACACTTTTGATTGAGTTTTTAAATATTTAGGGCAAAAAAATATGCTAATGCAGTCGATTTTAAAAAAAAAATGTATAACCTATTTTTTAAATTCAATTATTATTGAATGTAAGTAAATTTAGGTTTACTAATTTATAAAAATATCAAAATTTAAATTTAATATCGCTTTCGAAATGAGTGTAAGGAAAGGGCTCTTGCGTCAAGTAGACAAAGTGGGTCTTGGGCCTATTTTTTGTATCAAAACCAACCACTTTTTTTATTCATGCCCAACATCTACATGTCTCCTAAAGTGGACAATTATTGAAGTTTTATAATATTTTTTTTTATATAATTAAAGCCCAGTTTCCACAACCATTAGACACGACCGAAGCGTTTATCGGAATAATCAACTCGTTTGATCGATCCGATCGGCCCTACATTGCTCGGTTCACGTGGTCCAGGCGAATCTTGCGCGGAGAAGTACATTAAATGTTCATCGATGTTACAATAAATCAAAATATATTAAAATCGAGAGGTTAAACAGATTTCATTTTTTTTAGGCGAAACACGAGAACTTTCCAGGAGTCTACTCTATCACCAATAGCGAGTCCAGGAATTTAATACATATAGACTTAAATTTTAGGGGTTCAGGAGAGTTGCCCTTAAAAAAAATTGGACGTTTTCTTTTCTTTTTTCATAATTTAAGTTTGTAGTGGACTAATTAATTAATAAAATTAAGTGGACTAAATAATAATATATGTAGAACACGACGAAATTAGTAATTGAAGGGGTTGACTCTTGAGTCCATCCTAGCTATGGGCCGGACTCGGCCCGGTCTATAACCCACTCCTAGTATACTTTTTGTCGCATGGGATTTTCGAAAAGTCAACGAATTTGTAAAATCGAAAAAATAATTAAATACCCAGTCATTATTCACTAACTCCAGTATTAAAATAATTCAATACATTATTATTCACTAATACAAATGTTTATGACATTTGAACATTACTCAAAACTCAAAAGCTTTTACATACATATAGCTGCAAATCTCACGTCTCCAGATTCTTTTACACAATTCACCTTACATAATAAATTTAAAAATAAAAATTAAAAATTACATTCACATACCATAAAAACAAACCAAAAAAAGGGCAGTATATAATCTAATACATAAAATTAAAATATTTCCCGAAATAAAAATTCAAAATTCAAAATAATACAGCTAGCAAATCGGAAGAGGAGCTCCGTTCCAACCCTCAAGGCATTCCAACAATGGATCAACGATCAACCCCTTGCTCAACGCCGTGAAAACCTTATCGCACTCCTCTCCGGGAGAAGTCAGCTTCTCTCCGGTCAGAAACTCCGTCCCCAATTCCTCCCTCATGAATTTGTACAGCGGGTAAGATCTGCACTCCTTGATCCTGTTCCCCACCGCCGCATTTCCGTTTTCGACGGCGGATCTCGCGCTCTCGACCTCCTTGGGCAACACCGCCTTCAATTCCTCCTCGAACGCCTCGATTTTCTGGAAAATCGAAGTCGCCGCATTCTTCTGGTTGTCGCCGTTCTTCAGCGCGTGGTCGACGAGAACCTCCCTGAGCTTCTGCATCAGCGGGTAGGTCCCACTGCAGGGGTCGTCGATGTAGGCGAAAACGTACTCACGGTCAACCACACGGAGCAGATCCTTCTCGCAGAATCTGGACGGATGGAGCTCGCCGTTAACCCCCATCGTTAGGGTTTTCTTCGCCGCCTGGCTGACGGTGTTCTTCACGGCGAGCCTCAGATTCTCCTCCAGATGCCTCAGATCTATCGCCTGGCAAAGCGCGATTAGGTATGTGGACGACATTAGCTTCAGTATATCCAGAGCTTCAACCGTCTTCCTCGATGAAATCAAACCTAGAGAATTCACATCCTGGTTGTGCTGCTCCGCGCTCTGCACGTGATTCGTCACCGGATTCGCCAGAAATTGGAGCTCCGAGCAGTACGACGCCATTGCGATTTCGGATCCTTTGAATCCGTAGTCCAAACTAGGGTTGCGGCCGCCGGAGAGATTCGACGGCAAACCGTTGTTGTAGAAATCATTCACCAATTCGGAGAATTGAGCAAACATTAGCTTCCCGATTGAAGCAATTGCTAACCTAGAATTATCCATGGAAACCCCAATCGGAGTACCTTGGAAATTCCCGCCGTGAATCGCCTTGTTCCTCGATACATCAATCAGCGGGTTGTCGTTAACGGAGTTAATCTCCCTCTCGATCATCTTTGTCGCCGTTCGAATAACCTCGATCTGTGGGCCCAGCCATTGTGGGGAAGTTCGAAGAGCGTAACGATCCTGCTTCGGCTTCTGCAGAGGATCTGTTTCGTGTAGCTTCTGAGCAGCTTTCACATAAGCACTTCCATCGAGAATGTGCTCCATTATTGCAGCAGCTTCAATTTGCCCAGGGTGGTGCTTCAATTTATGAGTCAAGTGGTCGGTGAATTCCGGTTTCCCGTTCATCACTTCAGCGAATATGGCCGACATAACTTCCGACAGTAGAGAAAGTACATTGGCTTCGTACAGAGCAATCGAAGCCAATCCGGAACCAACAGCTGTTCCGTTAACCAATGCAAGCCCTTCTTTCGGCTGCAGCTCAAAGAATCCATCAACTCCGGCGAGTTTGAATGCTTCGACGGCGGTGAGGGTTTCTCCGGTGGGGCCCACGGCCTTGGAGTTGGGGCGGCCGGTTAAGAGTCCGGCGATGTAGGACAAGGGGACGAGATCGCCGGAGGCGGTGATCGTGCCGCGGAGGGGCAAGCATGGGGTGACGTTGTTGTTGAGGAATTTGGTTATGGCTTCCAAGATTTCGAACCGGATGCCGGAGTATCCTTGGAGGAGGGTGTTGATTCTGACGAGCATAGCTGCTCTTGTTGCGGAGTGTGGGAGTGTGTGGTTTGATTCCGTTCCGTTACCGAATATTCCGGCGTTCAGAAACCTATATTGCACATGAATCGCGTCAAGATTGAAATAATTACAGAAATACCACATATTAATTAAAAAGCAAGCATTAGGATAAAATAATAATTAAGCCAAATGATAATAAATATTGCTACGTAATGAGAAGGATAAAATAATAATTAAGACAAATTAAAGTTAGAGAAGAAGTAGGTTTACCTAATGAGCTCCTTTTGAAGAGCACCGCCTTGCTTAGTCCGGCGGTGTGACGTGGCACCGAAACCGGTGGTGACGCCGTAGCTGTCAGTCCCTTTGTTCATGCTGTCCATAACCCAGTCGCTGCTGGCCTTGACGCCGGCCCTGGCCGACTCGTTCAGCTCCACCGCCACGGCATTATCCCTGGCGGCGATGGCGGCGACTTGAGATATAGTCAGCGTCTCTCCGCCGAGCTTGACCACCGGCTTCCTGAACTCCGCCACCATGCGCTTGACCTCGTCGAGGTGGCTACCCTTGAGTGACTCCGCCGCCATCCCCCAGTTCAATGGATCGTTCTGCTGCACGCAGAACCCGTTTCCGGCGGCGTGGTGCCCGTTTTCGGCTGCCACAACTGCAGGTGCCATTAGATTGTATATAAGCGGTGATCGGAGAAATAAATAACACTGGTGGAAAAAAATGTGATCGGCGGATGAAAAAAATGTATTCTTTTTTCTGAGTTTCTCTTTGTTAGTGTATGTGTGTGGTGAGTGTGTGTTTAAGAAAGAGCGTTTCTTGAAATGTAGGTTAGATGTATGGCTTTAAATAGAGGGGAGCGGTGTATACATGAATATATATAAATAAAATATATTATAAAAAATAAAACATTTTTGGTAGGTGGGTTTGGGAGTTGGATGAGTGGAGGAAAGGAGGAGGGCGAGTCATCCCTCTAAAGAGGGTTGGTTGAGGATTGATCTGGACCGTTGGTTTGGGTCTATATCGATGGCTGTGATTTGTAGAAGTAGGTGTGAACTGATTGGAACATGGGCTTTTATTTTTTTATTTTTTATTTTTTATTTTTCCTCTGATTTTTGCGTGGGGTTGGTGGGAATGGGATTGGTAAAGAAATACATTGAGATTTTTTATTTTTATATAAATATATAGATTGGTAGATGATGGGGTTAAGTTGACATTAATTATTGAAAAAAAGAAGAAAAAAGAAATAAATAAAATAAAATAGTGAATAATGGGGTGTAGTTTCTGTGAAGTTTGCTGGCTACAGTCAAACTACGTGTGTTAGTTGAAGAGGAAATGTTGTCTTGAAATAAACAAGTAATTTAAATACATGTGCTTACAGTAATAGTACAGCCTCGCCACAATTAAATTATAGAAAGACATGCATGTAACTAACTAGTTGCAGATTTTAATTAAGGTTCCCTTCCTGCATATGTGCAGCTCTGTCCTAATTTTTTTTTTTCAACGAATACGAAGCAATATATGTGCGTAAGGTTTAAGTAACCATACGAGAAAGGTAAATCACTCTAGTAAACAAATTGTTTACGATGAGTTCGACTTAGAAAGTATTAACATGTGAGATTGAACTCGTATTATAAACGCCGTAGTATGCCGTGATTCTTGAAAGCAGGGGTGATTTTATAGTCTATGAGATGATACATCTGGTTTTTTTGAACCGTAATATAAATAATTATCCAGTAAACACAACTACACATTAATATGTTCAATATTTCCCGATATATTTTATCGCGTGTAATATCTACGAAATCGTGATTTATGAAGCAAATTTCATCAATTTTTCGTGGCAATGATTAGTAAAATTACTAAGTTAGCAAAATGGGCTGCTTTGACTACAAAAGTCGCCTTGACTTGACCATCACAACACCACTGGTTTGTTTTCTATTTTTCTTGCTATTTATCTAAATAAATGATAAAATGGCACTGTGAAATGACTTGGGTTTTTTGCCTTTTATAATTATGCACAATAATTTAGCAATTATTTTAATTTGCCCGTCAGAAAAAAGAACAAGAGTTGAATGGTCAAATTAAAAAAACAGAAAAAAGAAAAAAAAAACTATTTCGTATTTTATATAACTTGACAATTTATCCCTTTAGTAGGGTTTAATTAACAAGACAATCATTTTTTTTTCTCTAAATAATGCTCTTTTAAAAAATATAAAAATAAAATACTATTTATATTTAATATATTAACTGCATGATTGGTCCTAATAAAAAAATTATAATATTATTATTATTGGCCCATTACTCCACCTATCAAACAGCAGACGCAACACATAAATGCGTTTCTTATTTCTTTCTCCATTTTCATAAAGAGATCCCACTTTAACCACACACCTTGTAAAATACCATTAAAATTAAGTTCCAAAAACACGATTATGACTTGTCATTGTAAAGCATCTCCACGTTTTCTCCTGCCTTCAAAACACGAGTTTTGATTGGTAGGCTTTTTCAACGTTTTATTATATTTTTTAATTCGTCGTATTTGGCGGCTGAATTTTTTTACCGGCCACCACCACCAAACCGGTCATGTGTTTCTATAAATTTTATTTACTTATTAATGACGTCATAATTTATAATCAACATTTTCAAGAATGAGTGTAAATTTAGACCGAATGGCCTGTTTTAATAGGAAAATCGGATGTCATAGAATGATTGACATGTGGATAGTTCAAATAAAAATATAATTATGATTCTAATAATTGATAAAAAAAATAATAAAAAAAAAAAACTCAGCAGAACCAATAACTCATCTAACCGTAATTATAATTATCGTGATTTATTAAGAGTTAAGACTTAAGAGTGTCACATGTCAAAAAACTAGTGGAATCCAATTTATAATAAATATTGGCTGATCCGCTCAGAATTTAATCTTTTTAAGAATATATATGAGAAATAAAATTGTAATACACAAAAATACTTGAAAATATTGATTTTTTCGGCGACATGGTTGCACACGAACAAAATTAGGCTGCAATTTCAACGACAATGTGTTTTCCGAATCATTGGTTTGTTGTATACTATACTCGATCAACTTTAAGAAGTTTTACTGTACAAAATTTACACACATTCACATTCAATCTTGGTACTTCGAGTTGGATTCGAAAGTTAACTCAATTAACTATAAATTTTGAATTTTGAATTTTGGAAAATGCACCATAGAAAATGGTCAAAATCACGTTTTAAGTTGAAACGGTTATTATCGATACTGAAACGACACATTACAGAAATAAAGTGAGAATTATAATTTGTTTTAAAATTATAACCACCTCATATATTGGTTGTCTAAACTCTAAAGCTAGTTTGTCATGTGATCATGACATTTACAAGAATTCCCAAATTTAAGAAATAATAATTGAATTAATAAATTGTGTCACACTTATAAATAATATACATTCCATTCTCGAATTTATTGTCCTTGGGGAGTGAGGCCCACTGGGCCTATTTGAGAAGTCCATAATTTAAGGCTATCACCTAACCTAAGTTTAATAAAGCCCATTAAAATCAGATTTTATTTTGTGAGGTTTAGTTCATGGCCAACAATCACACTACCATACAACCTACCATTCTTTCTTTATGGTTTTTTTTTTGTTGGTTCAAAAATAAAATAGTCAATTACATCATATTCAATACACCACATTTATGACAATCAATTTGTGTCACACAATTGCACAGGATGAAAATTCACCACGTGACTCCAAATTTTTTTGTAAAGAAAAAAATAATAATAATAATTCCAACTAAATTAAATATATATCTTCTGAAATATTTCTATTATTATTATTTTTTATTTCTAGTATGGTTTACATCGTTCGTGTGCCCTGATCCCCTGACAGTCGAAGGGACGTGCATTAAATGTTGTCGCACGGCCAGATAACCATCTCGCCTAGTGTTACAGGGGTTAATTTATCACAGAAATTTTCCCTTGTACGGCCTGATTTGCCCACCAAACCAGTCAGCCTTCCTCACGATTTTCTTCGCACAAACACGCACAAACACAAGTCTTTTCAGCCACGTAACGAATACAAGAGTATGCAGCGGAAATCAAACACACAAGCACGTTTACGGGCAATGCCCAACCTTTATATTAATTCCCACAACGAATACAAAGGAGACTAAGGTGCACACACAAAATCCTCACTCAGAATTGCCCAACAATTGCAATCTGAACTCTCATATGCTAGATGATGCTAGATACCTCGGATTTGTGCACTCATAGCCAAATAAATACAAGGAAAATGTAGTTTTCACACAAAACTACCTAAGGACACATGGCAGCATACAAACATGACACTTGGCTAACTATTACAAGTAATAAGGGGCAGTTTTCTTGCATTTCCAGGCCTCAACCGCTCCATAACTGCCCTCAAATCCGCCCCTAAGGCTGATTTTCGAAGCCCAAGTTGACCGGGCGCGCCCGTGCGCGCCGAACGGCCCAAACAGCCCGGCCGGTTGCTAGGCAGCCCATCTGCCTTGCCTTTTCCGCACGTCTGCTCGCCTTTACCGATTACTTGCCAGTTCTTTGCCCACACGGTCATCGGCACGCCCGCTCATCGGGCTGCCTTGCTTGCCTTGCCAATTTTGCCCACACTTGTCAAGTCGTGGTCGATTTCCCTCGAACGTTCGTTTGCCCAAGTTATCGGCCGCATGCCGATTACTGCCCACGCTTGTCCGCCTTTGCTGCCGAGCAACGCCCGTGCCAGCCACAAGTACTTTCGATCACCGTTCCCACTTGATCAAGCCGATCCTTGATTTTCTCGGTCAAACACCCCAAATGCTTGCCCGATGCTCGACCACTCATTGGCCGATTGTGTGGCTGCCTTGTGCCAATCCCCACTTGGCACCATTTATCGGTCATGACTCGGCCACACTCGAGTCATTACCGATATCACCGATTAAGGGGGTAACACCTAGTTACTATCGATTGCCTTCTCACTACGGAGCCCCCGCACTAGTTGATGCGTCCGCGGGCCTGCTCGCGAGAGCCTTAATATTGGATTCTTGATGACTATCGTTGTGAGCTCGTCTTTTTTACGGGCCTTTAATTGGCCAAATATGTTTAATGGGCCAATTGAATCGAATTCTTGTACGGATGAGGCCTAATCAAGCCCATTAAAGTAATATAAGGCTCTAACGGAGAGTGAGAACTAAGCTAGAAGTGGGCCGGGCTTTACGTAATTTAATTTGTCGTAACGACACCGTTTCCGTCTGAACGTTATGATAAGGTACTCAGTTTGAATATTGTATAAAGTTTTTACAACACAGAGTTGAATACACTATTACATGTAGTTATTATTCAGCAACGACTTAGTCCCCATAATCGAATACACAAAACGGTCGTATTATAAATATATTTATATTTTTCACAATATATTGCTTCACATTGACTTAAAAAAAATTAATTAATTTAATATGTTTAAGTGTGAGTTGGAGTGACGTGATACCAATTTGCAAGTTATTTATCTAAATTTTATAAACAAAATCAAACCTTAGTAGAATATTCTAACCAAGTACAACTGCCAAGGGGGGCATAACAGTCATTTTCCCATATTTTCTTTGCCACGTGTTGAGCTCTATTAGACTATTACGATATAGTAAATCGAACTTTTTAATTTCATTATATTTGTCTGCATCAAACTTCCATTTGTTGCATTCAATGCTTGCATATAGACCATCGCCACTAATAGTAGTAATCCAGCTGGCACCGAATATTTCTTTCGCATTTACGTACAAATCACAATTCCATAATTAAATTACTTAATTTTTTATTTCTTAAAAAAAGGTCATTTTTCATGCTGTCCCAGTTCTTGATTAGACATTGTCTTAATTCTTACAACGTGGCACATGATTTTCTTAATTACCAATTTAACAACACTGAAACTCCATTTGATCCTTCTTTTTGGGTTATCAAAATAAATTTTTAAAAAATAAAAAATGTTTGTCGACAGTTTATTTGGAATTATAGGATTTGGGATCGGAATTCCAATAGGCCCTCTTTTAGGGTTCTTCATCTTCATTTACTTTCAGCCCAGAGATGTTTACAAGGTATGTTTTCATATATATATATATATATATATATATATATATATATATATATATATATATATATATATATATATATATATATTGTATGGTTTGCTTGTTGTCCAATAGGATTGCAGATTATCTAATCATATTGTAGTGTATGGTGTATTAAACTTTGATCAGGACCATGTTACTAAGTCAGTTGACGAGTTCGATTCGACCTCGCTAATTGATCTCGTCTTTCAGTTACCATTATGGATTATGAGCCCCGATTACGAAAGAGTGAGCAATTTTCAAAAAATAAAATATTAGTCGAACTAATTTTCGATTTTTTGGGATTAGCAACATAGTTTACTTTTATGTATATATTTTGCAGGTTGATTGGGTAAACAGAATTATTCATGATATGTGGCCTTACCTAGATAAGGTAATAAAACTTTGTTCGAAATTTATTTCGTTTACGTGTTTTTCTCGAAATTACAAAATTCGATCGATCCTCTATAGGCGGTACGTGGGATTATCAAAAGCTCAGCAGAAGCTACTTTTGCCGAGTACATCGGCCAATATTGTATAAAATCTATCTGTTTCGAACGCCTTACTCTTGGAAATATTCCTCCCAAAATTCACGGTAATTATTATTTATTATTATTATTATTATTATTATTAAGAAGCAAGAAACTGCGTTTGACGTAACGAATTTCGAAGATTATTGATTCTTTCTACCTTTTAACGAAGGTCTTAAGGCACAAGAATCTAAAGAGAATGAACTAGTTCTTGATCTTGCACTTAGATGGGCCGGAAATTCCGATATTGCCTTGGTAATAAAGTTGTTCTCTCTACAATTTCAAGTCGAGGTTAGAATAAAATTCATCCTTAATTTTTCGAAATGCATATAAAATTTATTTTTCCGATGTTTTCGAGATATTCACATGAATTTGTTCAAGGGCAGTTGGTAGACTTTCAGATATCATCAGCAACAAGGGTAGTTTTGAAACCTTTTGTACCGACATTCCCCTGTTTCTCCGGCATTGCAGTTTCGTTGATGGAGAAGGTAAACGATTTTTTTATATTTTTTTTAATATTTCTTTTAATTGCAGAATTATTTATTTATACTCGGTCTTGATATAATCGTTGCAAGATTGCAGCCGAAGATAGACTTTGGACTGAGAATCATGGGAGGAGATGTTATGTCTATACCTGTTTTTTACCAGTTTGTCCAGGTATGAACAACGAACGCGGCATGTAATAAAACGAGACCAGTTTTATCCGTTAAATGTTAACAAAAAACGCTCGATCGAAAAACGATAATTAAGTAAAATATTTGGCTTTCGATTTCGTGCAGGAAATTGTAGCAAGACAAGTTGCTAAGCTTTATCTCTGGCCCCAAACGTACGATATAGACATCCTAGAGGATTCAATGTAAGTTCAAAAAGTTCTTTTTTTTCTCGAAAATCTTGAAATATTGTTCGAATAATAAAATTTATTTTTAATATTCGATTGGCAGAGTAGCCACAAAGAAGCCTGTAGGAATACTACATGTTAAGGTTGTAAGAGCACGCAAACTCTTAAACATGGATTTTCTGACAACATCCGATCCTTACGTAAAGCTCAGCCTCACCGGAGAAAGGCTTTCATCAAAGAAAACTTCTGTAAAAATGAATAATTTAAATCCCGAATGGAACGAGGATTTCAAGATGACTGTGAAAGACCCCGTTTCCCAAATTCTCCAATTGCACCTCTTCGATTGGGAAAAGGTTTCAATTAATTAATTATTTGTTATAAAAAGTCAATCTTTACACATAAAAATTCAATCTTTACACATAAAAATTCAATCTTTACACATCTTAATTGTCAAGAAGTCCTTGTAATTATGACAGGTTGGTGCTCATGATTATTTGGGAATGCAAGTTGTTCCGCTGAATATGCTGACTCCGTACGAAAAGAAAGCGTTGACTCTCGATTTAGTCAACAGCATGGATTCGAACGATCGTCATAACAAGAAACCGAGGGGACAGATTACGGTCGAGACAACCTTTGTTCCCTTTCTAGAAGACAGCAAACAGTTCAGCGGATCGTCCGATTCTACAGGGAACGGAAGTTCTCAAAATGAATCACACAACCACGACAACATATCATTGTGTGGATCGGGTTTACTTCTTGTCACCGTTGTCGAGGCAAAGGATGTCGAGGGGAAATACCAAAACAACCCTTATGCCACAATCCTCTTCGGAGGAGATAGGCGAAAAACTCAGGTGATTACATTTTGTTTAAAATAATCCCACTTGTATATTACATTTAAAATTAATTCAGTTGGATTTATTTTAACTCGTACATTGTATTTGTAGTCGATCAAGAAAACTCGGAACCCTTATTGGAACGAAGAGTTCGAGTTTGTATTAGACGAAGCTCCGGTGAAAGAAGTGATTCATGTTGAAGTTATGAGCAAGAGGAGACGCTTTGGTTTTATGATTAAGGTGCATATTCAAATATACTTTTTATTTTTTATTCTTTCTTGATTTTTTTTTTAATTTTTGTTTAATTTTTGTTTTGTGACATAGGAAACACTGGGGCATGTAGATATAAACCTTGGTGATGTGGTGTGTAATGGGCGTATAAATGAGAAGTACAATCTTGTTAATTCCAGAGATGGAATAATACACTTGGACATAAGATGGAAAGTCATTTGACTCTGTCATTAGTCATTTCACTCTGCCATTAGTCATTACTTTTTTTTTTTTTTGTAATTTTTCTTTTTTTTTTCAAATTTTGCATACTACAGAATTTTTTATTTGTTTGATCATAATATCATATATATGTATTTTTGATACACAAAGCAAATGGTAAAAACTAAAAAGCAAATAAGCTCTCAATTTGATTTTATAGCGAATTTAATTATTAATATATAATCTAAATATTAATCATAAGATATTTAATTCAATTTTAATCATAAAGAAAATGCAACAAATAAAAAATCAATCTTGCCCTCTTTATAGTAGAAAATTAAAATTAGGGTTTACAATTCCTTAGAATTGAAGAAAGCAAACAAACACGGCCTTAGGCTTATCCACAAAACTCGAGATATTTGTTGTCTCTACATACAAAATATCTATCTTCGTTCCCTTTATTAAACCCTTTCACCAAGCCCTAATTTTCCAAGAAGAGAAAGAAACCCTCAAAACCTTATCCAAACCTACTCTCTCACTCACTCACAGCAAACAGTAGCAAAAAAATGTCTGCTTCACTCCAATTCTTCTCCCTAACCCCTCAAACCCTCCCCGCCCACCACTCTTCCTCCGCCGCCGCCGTCTCCGCCTCCTCCCTTCTAGCTCCGCACTCTCTTAAACCCCTGCCGAAGCTCGTCCTCTCGTTCAATTCCATCGGTAGCTACGCCGCCCACCCCGCTTCGAGATTTGTGCGTAACGTCGCATTTTCTTCTGAGGTAGACGAGGAGGTGGATGAGGACGAAGAAGATGAAGATGAAGATGAGGACTCCGATTTCTCCGGCGCCGACGAGCAGAGTTACTCCGCCGACGTGAAGCTCTTTGTGGGGAATTTGCCTTTCACTGTTGACAGTTCTGCCCTTGCTGGTTTGTTTGAACGAGCTGGAAATGTCGAGATGGTTGAGGTAATCTTTCCTTCTACATAGTACTACTGCCATTTGATACTTTTTTTTCGCTGCAATTTAGTTATTTGTTAGATTTTAGTAGCCTTGTTGTTGTTAATTTGGAAATGGACAAAAAAAATTAAGGATAAGATTTCACAAGATGGGATTATTGTTATGAACTTGTTGTCTGTCTACATTTGTAGTAGTTCTGTTTTTGGTGTGTGTGTGTGTGTGTGTGTGTGTGTGTGTGTGTGTGTGTACGGACTATATTCATCGGTATTCTTGATTCTTGGACTTGCACAATGTCTAGTTGAAGTGAAATACGATTCGTTCTCGTTCGACTATCTACGTATGTTTGTGTGTGCGGAGGGTTTGTGGTTTTAGTGAGAACGCAGTTGTTCCTGAAGTTTTTTATTGAAAACAAATTGAATCTTGCAGGTTATATATGGACAAACAGTCGGGACGAAGTAGGGGTTTCGCTTTCGTGACAATGGGGTCAGTCAAGGAAGCAGAAGCTGCTGTTCAACAGTTCAATGGATACGTAAGTGTCCTTCGTTCTCATAATTGTAAGTAGAATAGCGATTCGAATCAAATCAAGTCAATACTTACGCAAGTATATATGTCTCAAAACGTTTGTGCAGGAGCTTCAGGGCAGGCCTTTGAGGGTGAATTCCGGTCCTCCACCTCCCAAAACCGAAAACTCATTCAGAGACAACAATTCATCATTCAGAGATAACAACTCTTCGTACAGAGACAACAACTCTTCGTACAGAGACAACAACTCTTCATACAGAGACAACAACTCGTCGTACAGAGGAGATAGGTCTTCATCCAGAGGGGATGGTAATTCATTCCGAGGGGGCGATAGGTCTTCATCGCGTGGGGGTGACAGACCTTCGTTCCGTGGGGGTGATGACTCTTCCTCGTACAGAGGGGATAGGTCTTCTTCATTCCGAGGGGGCGACGATTCCTCTTCGTTCAGAGGAAACAGGGATAGGTCAAGTTCCGACAGCAGTAACAGACTCTATGTGGGTAACCTTGCATGGGGAGTCGATAATCTTACCCTCGAAACCCTTTTCGGTGAGCAAGGAAGGGTTCAAGAAGCATCCGTGGTTTACGACAGAGAGAGCGGTCGATCGAGAGGTTTTGGTTTTGTGACTTACGGTTCGTCTAAAGACGTAGACAATGCTATTAGTGCATTGGATGGCCTTGTAAGTATACTTACTGTATATATATACTATGAACCATTCAAGAATATGTTCTTGTTTTGTATCTATAATTATCGAGTGTTTTGAGTCTTGTTGGAATTTGTTTTGTGCAGGATGTTAAAGGCAGAACTATTCGAGTTAGCCGTGCTGAAGCTCGTCCGAAGCGTGAATTTTAAAATGACTTGAACCATTCAAGAAATCTCTAAACTGGTTCAATTTTTGGGGGTATATTCTCTAACTTAAATTGTTCAACTATCTTGGTTAATTTCGAGTTTTGTTCGTGTAACAAGTTTGTTATTTTTCTTCTTTTTTAGTAGCAGAGATAAACAGAGTTGCAGCTATAGCTATAATAGGGGCATGTGAGCTCAAGCTTTGAATAACAAATGGAAAGAACTTGCAGTGATATGCAGCTGTGTTTTGATTCGATTTCGGCGGTCGGAGAAAACGGTGGATATTATTATTATTAACGGTTATAATTTGTGTTCTGGATATGTTTATTGAGAAGATCAGCTTTTCTAGTCCCACCCGATACATCTTTTTGTAGGATCATAATTTTGGATTTTAATTTTGCTTTTTGTGGTGTGAAATGTTTTTGCATTTTATGAAATGAAAATCGCTGGTTTGCCGTTCTTGCTCGCTACTGAAGAGCGTTTTCGTTTTCGACTTTATATCTTTTGCATTTTGTCTACATCTGTTTGTAGACAAATGTTTTTTTCACTTGATATAATTCTTGTCAGAGGTAAGAACTGCTTTTATCAGTGATGAATTTCTCCTACTGCTTATGCTAATCTGCTCAAGTCTCGTTTGATTAGGGTGATTAGCCATGATTGATTAAATAATTAGATTTTATTTGATGTTTGGTATCTCAATAAATTGCTAGCTCGATCTGTTAAAATTATGTTATCATAGCTTATCTTGTTTTCTTGTGAGATTTTTTTGTTTGACGTCTCCCGATCCGATTAAATAATTGTGTTTTATTAGATTATTTAATTGTATTTTGGCTAATCTTATCTAGCCAAACGAGGCCCAAGTAAATGGAAAATACAGGCTGAGTCCATGGGTGCGATTAAATAATTGTGTTTTATTAGTTTATTTAATTATATTTTGGCTAATCTTATCTGGCCAAACGAGACCCAAGTAAATGGAAAATACAGGCTGAGTGCATGGGTGCGATAGTCCAATTCTAAAAATTTGATGTTAAAAAAGAAAAGAAAGAAAGCCCATTAGGGAGAATAATTTGAATAAAATATCGTCTCGGCCCAACACAAAAACCACTACAACTAACCCTACACCTCAGCCCAAACAGCTGACATCACGCTCGCATCATCACACAAGCGAACCGAACACGATCTCTCGAGCACAAATTTAGGTTCGACCTCGATTGGAAAAGAAAATGTATCACACACCAAGAACTACGAAATGACGTAGGAATTGTACCATTTGAGGCTTTTTTTTTCATGTTATTCCCAGATGCCCGGAGAAAACTGCAATCAATAGGATTTCCCTAATCTTATCTTCCCGAAAGCACAAATTTAAAAATTCAAGAAAAGAAAGAGAAAAAAAAAAAACATTCGGTAATCAAGCATTAATGAAACTCTCAACCTCAAACACATACATACCACTATTCGACAAATGTATCGGTATAAATCGACACGTTGACGATGATGCATATTCATTCATCGTGCAAGAAAAAAGTTGCTAAAAAGATTGAATCCCAATATGAATAAGTTGGCTATATTTCTAATTTTAGCAGATTGTATTAAAAAAGTTAGCTTGATTTTCCAATTCAAATTCAGAAAATATGCCATACCTTTATCTCTATGGGTGTGTGACAACTAATCATACCTTTGTGTTTCTACTTTATCAGACCACATTGAAAAATATATATATATACATTATCAGATTTACTGATACTCTGAATTAAACCCAATATATGTCGATCACCCATTGGCTTAACTTCACATGCAAAAATCTCTAATCAAATTGTCATTTATCAATATTTAATTGGTGGAAATGTCATCATCACCCACCAATGAACGGCCTACACGTGGCCTACGAGGGGTTTCACACTGTTATGCATATCACGTTTGGGCCAATTGGTACTCGACACAATGAATTTGGTCTCTGCTAATTATCGTCATCCGACCGGTAGAAGACGGCTGGTATTCTAGA